CATGGGGTTAGCTCGTTAAATTATAATAAAGCCTCGTGCAGTTTGCAGCAAGCTCTCGAATCCGCCTGGTGATTGGGGTGACCGCGAACGTGGCCTGGGACCCCGGATACTTGAGTTTTCGGGGGTCTAACAAGACCACGTGGAAATACTTACATTAATAGAAATGGGTTAATAATTAAGACAGAGCTAGCCAATAAGAAGCCCTAGTCACTGGCCAACAATTTCATAATTAATATAGTGTCTGTGTGTTTACTTGGCATGAAATGGCTGTGGGAACCTCATGTTACAAAATGGCACCCAACATGGGGCCCAAAACCATGACCCTGAGATAAAGAGTCTCATGCTCTACTAATTGAGCTAGCCAGGCAAGAACCTTTCATAATATCTATGTATCTCCACATGGTCTTGGCTTACCAGTAGAGCCCAGGCCTCTTTCTTCCTTGGCAGCTACATGGTGTCTCCCTTGCAACTCACTCTCCTTGTTCCTCTTCCCCGAATTCTCCTTATTCTGGTAGCCCTGCCAATACTTCCTGCCTGGCTACATCCTGCCTGTCTATTCATCAACCAATAAGAGAAACAGCTTTATTCATCAACCAATAAGAGAAACATATATTCACAGCATATTACAGAAGGACACCCCCCATCATGCAATATTGGATTTATTCTTCTTTCTTATTTTCCAATCCTTTCTGCCTTGTGTCAAATACTTATACTCCAGGCATTGAACTAAGGGCTGTGAGCAGCTGAGAAGAAAATCTCTGTGGCAGGCTGGGTGGTGGTGGCACACCCCTTTAATTCCAGCACTCAGGAGGCAGAGGCAGGCAGATCTCCAAGTTCTGAGCCAGCCTGGTCTACAGAACAACCAGGGCTACACAGAGAAACCTTGTCTGGAAAAACCAAAAAAAGCAAAAAATGATGGTTTGGCTCTGTGCTCCCCCAAGAGTTGGCTCATCTGTAATAATTGCCTTTTTCTAAACACTGTTGCTCAGCATTCAGTTGACCTTGTTGGGTAGGGACTGTCACCATCAACTGTATTTGCAGATGAGGCATGATGAAAATCACAGGAGCTCAACAAGGCAAGGCTTGAATCTGGGCAGCTGGGTGTGATGGTGTACTGTTTATCATCTAATAAAACTTGCCTGGAGGTAAGAATGCAAGCTTTTTTTCTTAATGTTTGTACATGTGTTCCGAGGGCAGTTTGTGGGAATCAGTTGCCTTTTCTACCATGTGGGTCCTGAGGATTGAACTCAGATCTTCAGCCTTGGCAGCAAGCTTTTTCACCCACTGAACCATCTTGCCAGCCCCTGTTCCCAGTTCTTTCAGGACTCTATTCAGGTCAGATGACCCAAGTCACACTCAGCCCAAACCCATTTTAATGATGATCAGCTGACAGCTCTGAGAGACCCTTGTTGAATTCGGTCGAAAAATCCATGGCCAGAAACCACTGGATGGGTGTTTTCTGGTAGCTGCCTATGTGCACTGGGCCACAGGAAGAAGACATATAGGCACCTGCACACTTATTTGGGATGGGAAATGGTTCAGTCAGTAACATGCCTTGAAAACAGAAGGACCTGTGTTCAATGCCCAGAAACCATTTTTTTTTTTTTTTTTTTAAGGTTGAAGAGATACCTCAGTGGTTAAGATTGTGACTGCTTGGCCGGGTGGTAGTGGAGCATCCCTTTAATCCCAGCACTCGGGAGGTGGAGGCAGGAGGATCTCTGTGAGTTTGAGGCCAGCCTGGTCTCCAGAGTGAGTTTCAGGACAGCCAGAGCTACACAGAGAAACCCTGTCTCAAAAAACAAAAACAAGAGTGTGGCTGCTCTCCCAGGAGACCTGGAGCACCCACACCTCTGCTGACAACCATCTGCAGCTCCAGTTCCAGGGAATCTAATGCCCTCTTCTGGTCCCCATGGGTACCAGGCACACATGTGATGCAGCCAAAAGACCCACATGCATAAAATAAGAATGAGGAGCAGAAGGAGGAGGAAGGCTGTAAGTGATCCTTGTAATCCCAGCTCTAGCAAGGCAGGGACCAGTGGATCCTGGGACCCATTACCCAGCCAGCTTCACCTACTTTTTTTTTTTTTTTTTGGTTTTTTGAGACAGGGTTTCTCTTTGTGGCTTTGGAGACTGTCCTGGCACTCGCTCTGGAGACCAGGCTGGCCTCGAACTCACAGAGATCTGCCTGCCTCTGTCTCCCGAGTGCTGGGATTAAAGACATGCGCCACCAAGCTTTCAGCTTCACCCACCAGGCCAGTGGGAAAGCCTGCCTCCAACCAATAAGGCGGCAGCCACCTGTGTCCCGAGGGGTCAAAGGGAGCAGTGCTGTAATGGCTGGAGTCCAGCCTGGGTGTGGATTCTCACAGTGACATCTGGACACGGTCCTGTCTGAGATGCCTCCTGTGGATAAAGGTCCAGTCACCCCCATCCCAGTGACAGGCAGTGGGCAGTGAGCATACAGTGTTCATACAGAGTCTATGCATCCTACCCAAACGGGATGTTTCTTTAGTGCCAGCCCCTCCCCCTTTGGTAACACATCCTTCCTCCTCCTCCTCCTCCTCCTCCTCCTCCTCCTCCTCCTCCTTCTCTTCTTCTTTTTTAATAAGACAGGGTTTCTCTGTATTGCATTGGAGCCTGTCCTGGCACTCGCTCTGTAGACTAGGCTGGCCTCAAACTCACAGAGATCCTCCTGCCTCTACCTCACGAATGCTGGGATTACAGGTGTGAGCCACCCATGCCTGGCTAGCCCTTCCTTCTTATCTGCCCAGGAATTTGCAGACACTAAACAATGGATCAAATGGCAGACTTGAGAGGCCTCGGGTAGAACCCGGGGCTGTTTGCTCCTGAGAACGAAGACTAACTCATTGGAATCTTGTATGCATTGCTCTTAGTTTTGGAAAGTGTCTAGACTAGAGCTGGCATGTGGCAAAGGGCCAGCAAATAAGGGCCATTGTTTTGGCCCTGCTGGAAGCCACTAGTGAAGACATAGCCTTACGTTCCTTGGGAGAGAGGGTAACAAGGTAAACCAGTGGACCCGTGGAATGGGGTCTTTTCAGACACTCTGTCATGTGCATCCTTTAGAACAGGTGCCAGGGTGTCACAGAGAGAACCACTGAGCAAGAATGAAAACCAATGGCTGCATCTCAGTGGATGGAACCTTGAAGGACATCACAGGCCCCCAAACCACATTAGCCGTAAGCCCGTTATAAGGAGACTTCTCCAGCGTGGTAGAGTCCTGTCCTATCTCCCCAGTCCTCACTCCCATCCTCTATGACACTTGTCAAAGGTCCAGGCATCCAGCAGTCTAGTCCCTGTGGTATGTTGCCCTCCTCCAGATGACGCTCTCCTCCCCAGAAAGGGGTCCTCCAGGGAGACCCCAGCAAAGTGTAAGGCTCAGCACTGGCACCCCCTTGAGTGAAGGCACCTGGAGGTAGAAGCCTGATACCACAGCTTGACCAAGAACAGCCTTCCCTGGGCCAGGAGGGAAGATGTACCCTGGCGGGGATTGGGGGGGAGTCCTAAGAAGCTGGAGAGGGTGAGAGGATGACCACGGTTTAGTTCACCAGCTGAAGACAGGATTGCCGGGGAATCTGCTGACCTGGGAAATGCAGAGGGGGCTTGTGGTCAGTCCAGCAGGGCCGGCAGGAAGGTGTCCCAGGATGCTTTTCTTAATCACATGAGACAGAAGTGTGCAGGGTGGGAAACATGTCTAATTGTGTGTGTGCTCGCCTATGTGTGTATATGTGCACATGTGTACAGGTACCCTCGGAGACCAGAAGAGGGTGTGGGTGCAAGAACCCTGTCTGCTTAGGAGGACAGAGCTCCAGGCCTGAAGCCCGACTTTGACCTGACCCCATCTGGATGGCAGAAATACCATGCATGTCACCTCCAAATGCTACCTGGTTTTTTTTTTTTTTTTTTTTTTTCTGGCTTCCTTCTGGAGTCCCTCCCACCTGACATTTCCTCAGCGTTGTGGGATACAGAGACAAGCTGGAGAGGTCTGAATGTTAAGTAGAGTCACATATTTTATTTGAGCCTCATTTCTTTGAAGAGAAGGGAGCAGAGAGGAGAGGAGCTGGTCAGCGACAATCTGGCCCAGCTCCCAGAGGCGTGGAGTATGTGCAGGGAGCCAAACACCGGAAGCCTGCTGGGGGTGACGCCTGCAGACAGGCTGCGGAGACAACTGTCAACCTGGAGTCATGCAGCCTGCGAGTCCAGCACCCAGTAAGAAGGAAGTCAGCAGGTGGAGGGTCACAGAGCCAGGACGGATGGCTGGTACCCAGTCTAGGTCTCACGCCCAAGAGATGCCTTTTGGACAGGGAGAATTTGCCAAGATAATCTGCCTGCTATCTATTTCCAGTTCACCTACCAAGTGTCTTCATCGAACTGGGGCGAGTTTGGATGACCATGTGTCTGTTTCTTCTCCGACGAACGTGAATGAGGTGGAACCTGAGACTGGGAGGGGGAAGACCCAAAGCGATAGGCGGTGAAGTAGTTCCGCCAGGGGCTGTGAGACCTTGTCCTCGGCTGGGGCCTCCTCTCTCTCTCTGACACCAGCTCTGGCTCTTCTTCTGTCTCTGGCTCTGTCTGGGCATCTGTGTCAAACTCTGTGTCTATCTCCAGATCAGATTTGGCTTGGATCTCAGACTCCAACTCAGACTCAGGTTCCAGCTCTGACTCCTGGTCCAAGTCCAGGTTCAGGTTTGGGTTGAGACCCAGCCCACTGTTCTTTTCAGAATTCAGCATGGCATCCAGGTCCAGGTCAAACTCCAAGTCATCCTTAATGGGCTTGTGGATATTGATGTAGTTTTGACTTGTACGCTGGGGAGCTTCTATGATGCTACTACCGGTTTTATGTCTTAGATTGCTCAGGTTGCCGTTCTGAAACAACACACATTTTCGGGGGTTAAGACTTAACCAGTGGGGGACTGGAGAGATGGCTCAGTGGTTAAGAGCACTGGCAGCTCTTCCAGAGGACCTGGGTTCAATTCCCAGCACCTACATGGCAGCTCACAATAGTCTGTAACTCCAGTTTCAGGGGATCTGACACCTTTATACAAATGCAGGTAAAATAAAGTTAAATAAATTATAGAAAAAAGACTTAGCCAGTGAATTTCACTTCCAAGCACTCAAGGGATTTCAAAACATATCCAGGACTTAAGTCCTAGAACCAGGGTTTGTTTGTTGCCCAGATCTGCTTCAGATCTGAGCGTTTCTTAGTTCTTCACTATTCTTTGGGTCAACCCCTGACATCTGCTCTTTGGCTTTTCTAGCTAGACGGGATTTCACAAGACCTCTCTCTCTCTCTCTCTCTCTCTCTCTCTCTCTCTCTCTCTCTCTCAGTTGCCAACCCTAACACAGTCCAGACATCTAAGGGTCTTTAAGGCTGTGTGCCTCTCACCTTCAAACTTTGGTACCCCTCCCTTAACCCTAGCCATACTAATACCAGGAGTTGCCTGACTCTACCTGCCTCATCCATCTCCATGTGGACATTCTTCATTCCAGATGCAGATCAATGATGCCAGGCCAGGCTCCCAGCTTCCTCTGTGACCCAACTGCCCTCTCGAGCACACTTCTGCTTTATTTACAAACCCATCCCTAGCCAGACTCTAAGCTCCCTGTTGTAGAACAGGGCCAGGTTCTAGACGTCCCCAGTATCAAGATACTTGTGGAACATTCCACAGCACTCACCCCTTCTCTCCTGAAAGAGCTTTCCTTCTTCCTTCCTGGCCTATTATTTCAGGGTGTCTTTTGCTGTCTCCTCAGCCCTAACCTGATGGCACTGTCACTGCTTACTCTATCCTAGCCTATTAGTGACACTTCCCCCAGAGTGCTCAGACATGTGTAATAATTGACACCTAACTCCCCTGCGATGTACAAGGATGCCTGAGGCCTCTGCTGGGCTGAGGCAGGGGTCCTGGATGGACACCCAGGAGCTGTGGCCGTGGAGGTCCTTGAAAGCTCAGGTGCTGGCACAGGGGCAGCCCAGCCTTTCTTGGGACATCTTCACCTCTGACCAGGCAACCCCCTTCCCCACACTTCACCCCCGGCCCTGAGGCTCCAAGTCATCCAACCTTGTCTGACTCTGAGTAGTTTTCCTGTATCACTGTATCAGTTGCATCCATGCTTAACTCTGAGGGCTCAGGCATCTTCCTTGATAAGGCGAACAGCACGGCGTCGTGGAGGCTGAGGAAGAGCTGGGCCTTCCTAATGCCTTCATCAAAGAAATCGTTCTTCTCAAATGACTTGACCACAGAGGCTGCAAACCAAACCCAAACACACAGGCATCATCAGCACCCAGAAGCAGAGCCCCTGGGGGTACAAGACACACATGCTCTCTTCACAGGGCGGAGGGTACTCACTGTGACAGCCTGAGATGAGCACCAAGATGTTGGCATTGTAGAAAGCATTACACATCTGCAGAGAACAAGTGAGCCGGAGTCAGAGAGTCGCATGCCCACCAAAAATGGCCCACCGACCGACTACCTAGGGTCTAGCTCCTCATCAGCCATTCACTTGCTGGGGGAGCCTGTCCCTCTTCCTTCCAATCTCCTAAGCATTTTGTGAGTGGGCCTCTGAGTAGTGTGTCTGGGAACACAGAAACCAACCAGTGCATCTCATGGTGGGTGGAGAGTGATGGGAGGGCTTGCTCAACTCCCAAGCAGGAAATCTATGCCCGTGGTAATGTTTACAGGAGGAAAGCCTCAGGATACATGGGGTGACGATGCTCCTGGGAACTTTCTAGATAGTGGCTACAAAGAGTCACCCTCATTTATAAGTAGACAGATTTTTATTCATGAACGTGTGTGTGAGTCTGTACAACGTGTGCCTGGTGCTCATAAACACCAGAGACGGCAGTAAATCCCCCCGGAACTGGAGTTACAAACGGTTGTTAGCTGCCATGTGGGTGCTGGGAATTGAACCTGCAACCTCTGGAGGAGCGGTCAGTGCTTTCAACTTCTGAGTCATCTCTCCTGCTTCATGCTCTTTATTTTAGGGTAAGTGGAACATAAGAAAGCCCTCTAGCCAGAGATGCACAAAGAAATTACAGGAGAATGAGGAAGCCTAGACTTTGGGATGCAGATGTGGACCGCGGTCTCACAGCTGTAAGGCAAAGGGTCCCTCGCTTGCCTGGATCAGAAAGCTTTCTGGGTAAGTCAGGTGTGGATGCCAGGATAATGAGTGCCTCTGTAAGAATGGGGGGGGCAAGGGGGGTGATGGGGGATGTCCTTCTGTTTGCTGTGAATATATGTTTCTCTTATTGGTTGGTGAATAAAACTGTTTCAGCCAATGGACAGGCAGGATGTAGCCAGGCTAGGAATCCAAACAGGGATGGAGAAAGGTAGCAGGAGGAGTCAGGGAGACGCCATGCAGTTACTGGGAAGTTAGGATGTCTGGGCATTCTCCAGTAAGTCAAGACCATGTGGAGACACACAGATCAATAGAAATGGGTTAAAAATTAAGAGAGAGCCAGCCAATAAGAAGCCTGAGCCACTGGCCAAACAGTTTATAATTAATATAAGTCTCTGTGTGTTTATGTGGGACTGACTTGCTTCAGGACCGGATGGGACAGAAAAACTCTGTCTATAGAGGGAGGTCAGAAGAGCCAGGAAAAGCTGGATGCTCGGAGCTATGAAGCACCAAATCTTGCATTTTTGAAAACAGTGCTGTTATGGGGGCTGCTGGGAGAATGGATGGCAACAGTGTGCCAACCATCAGGCAGACGGCATCTGACAGTGTGGGGTTGAGCTACTCTAAAGTAGCCAGCACAGCACAAGACTAGAGGCAGGCAGCCTGGCCTGCCACAAAGGCCTGTGGTGAGAAGGGTTGAAAAGGAGACCACATCAATACATTTGGATCTTAACAGGTGGTGGGGGCTGGACCTGGTGGAGCACACACTTAACCCCAGCACATGGAACACAGAAGCGGGAAGATCTCTGTTTGCCCAGGTCAGCCTGGTAGGTCTAGACAGCAAGTTCCAGGGTTCCAGACCAGCCAGCGCTACATAGTATGAGGCATAAAAAAAAAAATTAAAAGAGAGGGGGAGGGAGGGAGAGAGAAGAGAGAGAGAGAGAGAGAGAGAGAGAGAGAGAGAGAGAGAGAGAGAGAGATATCTCTGTGAGAGTTCAAGACCAGCCTGGTCTATGACACAAGTTCCAGGACAGCCAGGTGCTACATAGAGAATCCCTGTCTCAAAAAGCAAACAAACAAAAATAGATAAAAATAAAGAAGGGTCTCGGGCCTAAACTCACTAAGAGAGTGATAATGACCTTAGGCCCCCGAATGACCCCAACCGGCCTCTCTGGTGCTGGGATGGAACCCAGAGCTTCCTGCATGCTGGACAAAGGCTCTGCCAGGGAAGCCTTGTCTCCAGCCTTAGGGTGCTCAGTGTTAACTCTCTAGGTAGTGCTGATAAGGACACAGGTGATGGGTAGCGGCCGGGAGCCCACTTCTCTGCACAGCCAGTCACGGGTTTTCCTGCTTTAAAAGGCCTCTCACAGCCTCGGCTTACAGAGGAGCCAGACTCCCTTAAGAGAGAAGGGAACTTCTTCAGGGGTGTGAAGGTTCCGTGAAACAGGACCCAAGTCAGAAGAGGACATGCCCACAACGCTGCCTGTTCTGTGAGGAAGGAGAAGCCTCTCTGAGAGTTAGGGGAGAGAGACCCTGCTGCTACCCCATAGGCGGGGCCAGGAGCAGCGGAAAGGTGGGGCGGGGTGGGGCTGGGGCGTTAGTCCTCCACAGCTGTCCTGGAGTCCCACAGCAGGTGGGACACAGACACTGCCTCAGTGATATCAAGAAGCACCACCCCTCCTCCCCTCGACCCCATTTCTTGGGAAATGATGAATGATTCATGCCTAGGGAATTAACTGCTTGAGTTCAACAAAGGGAGCCTGGCTCATTTCCTTTTTATTTTGACTGACTTTAAACCACTTCAGTGTCCCCATCACTAGTCACCATGACTCACAGAGTTACACTGGGATGGGGGTATGTGTGGCAGGGGATCAGAACCTAGAACCAGGGGGCTGGAGAGATGGCTCAGAGGTTAAGAGCACTGGTTGCTCTTCCAGAGGTCCTGAGTTCAATTCCCAGCAACCACATGGTGGCTCACAACCATCTGTAATGAGATCTGGTGCCCTCTGCTGGCCTGCAGGCAGAAGACTGTATACATAATAAATAAATAAATAAATAAATAAATAAATAAATAAATAAATCTTTAGGGGAAAAAATCCAACCTCACATATTATTATTAAAAAAAAAAAAGAGAGACCCAGAGGCCAGGCCTCTTTGTTACTTACCTGCCTTAGTACAACTGAAGCCTCGTTATCTACATAGTGCACCATGGAGAAATCCAGAATGATGGTGTGGATGCTGGGTGCCATACTCGTGTCTGAGTAAGGGATGATGATGGACCTGGATCTACTCTGTGCTAAGCTTTCGGAGCCTTCAGGCGGTGGGAGGGAACTGTTTCTTGAGGGGTTGCTGGACAGCCAGATTTTGTCCGTGTCCTCGTAGCTCTGCCCTAGATTTTTTTGCGATGTTGAAGACACTGTGTGGGGGACCTGTTCCTCGGATGTGCTTTCTTCAGTCATGGTCCCATTGCCCAGATAGGAGCATCGGATCAGGTTGACGGACGATTGGTCATGCTCCTGTTTGTTTTCGAATCGCTCTATGTAGACAATCTGGGATGACAGAGAAAGGCGGGCCCCGATGAGACTCAACCAGAGCTGAAGTCCCTGCAAAGGCAGTGTGTCCCCGGCTCCCCGGCTCTCCTCGGAAGTTCTACCCCATTACGCATCTTTTAAATTCGGTCATCCCACTATCGCTTCAAGCCTTCAACCAAAGCCATATCATAGCTTGTCACCTCAGTGGTCCCCAGACTCTTCCTCCCAACTGTTTGTATCCATTAGTGACATTCATTAGTCTGTGACGAAGTCACCTTCAGTTCATTCCTAGTGTTATCACAACTTCCTGTAAAGTGCTTTCTTTCTTCCTTCTTTCTTTTCAAATGTCTGTATGTGTGTATGTATGTTTGTATGTGTGTATGCATGTATGTATGTGCCTGTGTGTATTGTACAGCCCATACATGAGGCCGAATTCGTCACATGCACACAGGAGGTCAAAAGAGGGTTACAGACCCCCTAGAAGTGCAGTTACAGGCAGTTGTGAGCACCGAAACCAGGTCCTCAGGAAGAGCAGTAGGTGATGTCACCCACTGAGCCATTTCTTCTCCGTCAGGTTTTTCCTCGGCACCTGCTTGCACCCATGCAAGTCTTTCACCCAGCCTTCTTAGGAATACAGTGGTTCATTTCTGGGTTTAACCTCCAACTGCCTCCCGTCTCCTGAGAGACCCCAACGGCTGATATACACATGCATGGACAGCACCGAGAGTTGGAAATGCCGTGTCGTGCAAGGCCCTAGTGTGGCCTCTGCATGTGGACTTCGATGGTTGCTCTTGTCATTGTGACTGCATTCACGGTCACCATCCTGTCCCTTCTTCCTCACCCCCACAGTGTTGTGCCTGCCTGACAATGTCAGCCTCAGGGTCCTTGCCAAGTCTACTGCTATACAGGACCCTCTGTCTTCCAACCCAACACCAATGCCAGTGTCTCTTGCAGCAGCACAAATCCATTTGCCATGCGGTACCTCTGGATTTCTGAGTTCATGCCACTCTGTTTACCAAAGTTGTCTGAGTTGTTAGGAGCTAAACATGTTCAGAAGATGGACAACTCATACAGTGCTGTGTGTCACTGTTCCTAGTGTACATTTCAAGGTAGGCTGGAGAGCCGGCTCAACACCCAAGAGCGTCTGCTGCTCTTGCAGAGGATTAGGGTTCGGTTCCCAGCATCCATTTCAGGTGGCTCACAATCACCTATAACTCCAGCTCCAGGACATCTGATGCCTTTCTGACCTGTGTAAGAACCTGCATATATACACACACCATACACACACACACATACCATACACACACACACATACACCACATACACAAACCAACATACACCATACACACACACACACCACATACACACACATACACACACACACACCACATACACACACATACACACTACACACACACACCATACACACACACTCACACACACACACACACACACCATACACATATATACACCACACACCATACACACACACACACACACACACCATACACATATATACACCACACACCATACACACACACTCACACACACACACACACAATATACACATATATACACCACACACCATACACACACACTCACACACACACACACACACCATACACATATATACACCACACACACTCTCACACATACACACACCATACACACACACACATATATATACACACAATATATATGCATATACACACACATACCACATACACACACACACACACATATATATATATATACAATATATATGCACACACACACACCATACACACACACACATATATATACACACAATATATATGCATATACACACACATACCACATACACACACACACACACATATATATATATATACAATATATATGCACACACACACACCATACACACACACACACATATATATACACACAATATATATGCATATACACACACATACCACACACACACACATATATATATACAATATATATGCACACACACACACACCATACACACACACATATATATATACACACAATATATATGCATATACACACACATACCACATACACACACACATATATATACACACAATATATATGCATATACACACACATACCACATACACACACACACACATATATATATACAATATATATGCACACACACACACCATACACACACACATATATGCATACACACAATATATGTACATACACACCCATACATACATACACACACAAACATATGTATAATCACATAACCATACACATCCATATATATAGATCCATATACACAACCACATACATACACCACACACCATATACACACACCACACACACCATATACACATACATACACACATGCATATACACACACCATAAACATATACACACATACACATACATTCACAAACATATATACCAGTGTGCATGCACATATACACATATATAAATTAAAAAATAAAATATTGCAAATTGTACCATTATTTATCATCTAGAAAGAAAAAATATTAAATTATATGCTTCAATTATACAAATATCAGAAATGTGAAAGATGTTTACTTTGTGATTGAAAAATACACTATATTTATGTCACGTGAATGGAGAGGTGACTCCCTAATTTAATTTTACAAGCTTAGCTATGGACTGCTAAACCTTACAGCCATTCAGTGTGGTATGGTAGCACACATCTGTAATTCCAGGATTTGGGACATCATGGGATGATTATGGTGAGCTTGAGGCCAGCCTGGACCACACAGTGACACCCTATGTCAACAACAACAAGCTGGGTGTGGTGGCATCCCAGCATTTAAGAGGCAGAGACAGTAAGGTCAAGAGTTCAAGATCAGAAAGATATGGAATGGAGTGCATGCCTTTAATTCCACCACTTGGGGGGAGACAGCAGATGGATCTTGGTGAGTTCAAGGCCAGCTTGCTTTACTTAGTGAGTTTCAAGCCAGCCAGGACTACATATTGAGACCCTGCCTGTGTGTGTGTGTGTGTGTGTGTGTGTGTGTGTTGTATGTGTATGCATATATATATGTGTGTGTGTGTTCACATTTACATGTGAGTGTGTGTGTGTGTGTGGTGTATGTGTATGTGTGTGTGTGTGTGTGTGTTCACATTTACATGTGAGTGTGTGTGTGTGTGTTCACATTTACATGTGAGTGTGTGTGTGTGTTCACATTTACATGTGAGTGTGTGTGTGTGTGTGTGTGTGTGTGTGTGTGTGTGTGTGTGTGTGTGTGTGTGTGTGTGTAATTCAGGGTTATATATATATTTAAAGAATAGCAAGGCAGTGGTGGCGCACACCTTTAATCTGAGTACTTGGGAGGCAGAAGCAAGGAGATCTCTCTGAGTTCAAGGCAGCCTGGTCTACATAGTGAGTTCTAGGACAGCCAGGGCTGCACAAATAAACCCTGCTTTGAAAAATGAGAGTGAGTGGGGGGGGGGGTTGGAAGAAAGGAAGAAAAAGGAAACACACACATATGTGAAACACTTGCCACGCTAACTCTTCTCTGCCCACCTTCACTCCCACCTTCACACGGCACTCTCTCTGCCTCTGTCTGTCTCTCTCGATATCCAGAGTCTACTTATTGCATTCTGTGTGTACATTCATGTGTGTGGAATGGGCTGTGTCCCTGTAAAGGGAATGGCCGTCTATCTTTAGAGGAAGAGGGCGGAGAAGCAGGAGGGCAGGAGAGGCTCACCCTGGTCTCCGGCTCCAGCTCTTCACAGTCACAGAAGCACCGACAAATTTTGTTTTCCGATAAGCTGGTGTAACTTTCATTAAACAGGGTGAAAATTTCTTCTTCCTTAAGAGGTATCTTTACCATACTGACCTGGGGGACACAAGAGGGGTCACACCGGGGACAGGTGGTGGAGAGGGGGCCCCAGGGTGTGAGGGGTGCCTGGCGGACCCTCACCTCTTTCAGCAACTTGTGCTTTAGACTGTACACATTGACAAACGTGATGGAGTTGCAACACTGCAAGATTTTCACCCCGGGGATGAGCAGCACCTGCAGGACAAGGTGAGGCGGTTGACAGGGAGTAAGGACCACACAGCTTCAATGGCTCCTCAGCAACCTCTGGCCTCAGTGGGCTGAGGCGGGAAAATTCCCATACCAATTAATTCCCAGCATGTCTTGCTTCCCCCGCCCTGTCTCTCTTCACTCACCCCCCAGGGTCTCACTGTGTACCTCTTGCTAGCTCAGAGCTAGAACTGCTCTCTGCTTGCCACTGCCTCTGGAGTACTGAGGTCAAAAGCAAGCCAGCACCTCCATACCTGTGACCCCTGCTATGTTGTGTGGACTCTGGCATTTCTCAGTCTTTTACCTAGCTTTCTTCTCCCAGAAGTCCACAGTGAGAGGGCTCTCTGCTGGCTGTCGGGGTGAAAGGACACTGCCTGTCCCCTGGAGCCCCATGCCCCCCATTGCCTGGGAGTGGGCTGCAGTGCCTTGGTGAAGGGCTGGGGCTGAGTTGGCTATTCTTTCTATACCCCCTTCTCTGTGTGTATGTGTGTGTGCATGCCTGTCTGTCTGTGTGTGTGTCTGTCTGTGTCTCTGTGTCTGCGTGTCTTTGTGTCTGTCTGTCTGTCTGTGTCTGTTTGTCTGTGTGTGTCTCTGTGTCTGTGTGTGTGTGTCTCTGTGTCTCTGTGTGTGTGTCTTTGTGTCTGTCTGTGTGTCTCTCTGTGTGTGTCTGTATGTCTGTCTGTGTCTGTCTGTGTCTCTGTGTCTGTGTGTGTCTGTCTCTGTGTCTCTGTGTCTGTGTCTCTGTGTGTATGTCTTTGTGTCTGTCTGTGTGTGTGTCTCTGTGTCTGTGTGTCTCTGTGTCTGTGTGTGTGTCTCTGTGTCTGTGTGTGTCTCTGTGTCTGTGTGTTTGTGTCTGTCTGTCTGTGTCTCTGTATGTGTGTGTGTCTGTGTCTGTGTCTCTGTGTCTGTGTCTCTGTGTGTCTTTGTGTCTGTCTGTGTGTCTCTGTGTGTGTGTGTGTGTCTCTGTGTCTGTGTCTCTGTGTGTCTTTGTGTCTGTCTGTGTGTCTCTGTGTGTGTGTCTGTATGTCTGTCTGTGTCTGTCTGTCTGCTGTGTCTCTGTGTGTGTGTGTGTCTGTGCCTCTGTGTCTGTGTGTTTGAGTCTGTCTGTCTGTCTGTCTGTCTGTCTGTGTCTCTGTCTGTGTGTGTGTGTGTCTCTGTGTCTCTGTGTCTGTGTCTGTGTGTCTTTGTGTCCGTCTGTGTGTCTCTGTGTGTGTGTCTGTGTGTCTGTGTGTGTGTCTGTGTGTCTGTCTGTGTATGTGCAAGTACACTGGGCTATAGGAGGTGCATGTGTGGAGACCAGAGGTCCAGAGGTAAGGTCAGTGTCTTCCTCAGTTGGGGTCCACTGTTTACTGAGGCAGGGTCTCTCACAGAAATCCAGAGCTCCAGGACTCATTTAGTCTAGACACCTAGCTTGTCCCGGGGATGTCCTTTCCTGCCTCCTGAGCACTGAGGTGAGCTCCTCACACATGCGTGGCGCCTGGGCCGGCTCCTTACCTCCCGGTAGTCGTTGACGTTTCTGTAAATGTTGGTATTGGGGATCTGACCCAAGACGAGGATCTTCGTTCTGGAAAGAAATGCACTTGCCTTAGGTCCCCGGGCCCTGTCCTTGCCATGGCTGCCCTCCACTTAACAGAGGCTGGGTACCTGTGCGAGCGGACAGTGATGATGAAGAAAGCAAACGCTAGTGAGATAAGGAGTCCAACGTCTAGTCCCAGAAAGATCACGGAGGAGAACGTCACCATCCAAACAACCTTGTAGGAAACGGATGCAGAGGAGGAGACTGTGAGAAAGAGCAGCACGGAGGCCAGGCCTATCCCAGAGGACTCGGCCCCAGAGGCCGTCTACATGTGCTCTGACAGACTCCCCCTCCTGGCTCCCTTCACTTCTTTCCTGAAATGCCAGTGTCCCTGCATACAAAATGGAGACAATGTTATCTACCTGCCTGCGGATGGTAGCATGGGTTGACACGAGAAATCCCACTGGGAAAGCCAACCAGAACTCATGGAATGACAGTTAAATGTCTGTAATAGTTATTAGGCATATGTGTCTTATTTTTATTTATTTTGTGTAGTGTGTGAACACTCACGTGTATGTGGATAGCTGAGTGTACATGTGTGTGCCTGCATGTGAAGACCAGAGGAACTATACACTTTTGTGTTTTTCAGACTGGCCTAGAGCTCCCCATAGGCTAGTGAGGATCCCCAGGGATCCCCGCTGCCTCTGCCTCCTGAGTGCTGGGATTAAAGGCGTGTGCCACCACGCCTGGCTTTCTTATGTGGGTCCTAGGGTCTTGAGTGGCAAGCACTTACTGATGGAGCCTGGCTGGTTCTGTTCCTTCTGCAGGCTCCAACTCCATCCATCCTCCCCCACCCTCTTCACCCCCGTGGCATCTGTACTCACACAGTCATACTGATCCTGCCTCCACAGATTGGGCAAGTTGTAAATGGTTTGAAGGTAGGGTATCACATTGCTCAAGACGATCCCTGCCAGCACTGCCTGTTGGGCAAAGATAAACCACCTTAACTGCCTTGTTCTCCTTTCAGGGACAACATTTACAATGGAACCACAGAAACAGGGCCTTGCCTCTAGAAACGCCACGTGGACTGTTTTGTTTTTAATGAATAGCACACCCAAGCTCTGACTCCTGGTTCAAATAAAAACCTATTCCATTTTTCTCTCCTTTCATCTATAGTGTGTCAAGTCCGATGGGCAAGGCCACGCCAACGTCAGACCTGACTGATGCAGCCAGAACAGGGTCCACTGTTGTGCTTTCTGAGCAGGCTCAATGAGGACAATATCAGAAGAAGAAGGCACAGCAGGAGGAGAGTCAGGTTTGGCTTCTTCCCCTCTGCCTTATTTATCTATCTATTTATTTATTTAGACTTATTTATTGCTTTTTTTCCCCCTAAGACAGGGTTTCTCTGTGGCTTTGGAGGCTGTCCTGGAACTCGATCTGTAGACTAGGTTGGTCTTGAACTCACAAAGATCCACCTGCCTCTGTCTCCCGAATGCTGGGATTACAGGTGTGTGCCACCACTGCCTGGCACTTTTTTTAAACCTAATTTTAAAGATTATTTATTCTAATACTTTATGTATATGAGTGCTCTGTCTTCATGAACACCAGAAGGAATCAGATCCCATTACAGATGGTTGCTGGGAATTGAACTCAGGACCTCTGGAAGGGCAGCCAGTGCTCTTAACTGTAGAGCTATCTCTGCAGAGAGCCTGCTACCAAGCTTTTTACAATATCAGATAGGGAAAGCATGTGGTGGCCACGCCTTTAATTCCAGCACTCAGGAGGCAGAGGCAGATGGATCTCTGTGAGTTCGAGGCCAGCCTGGTCTCCAGAGTGAGTTACAGGACAGCCAGGGCTGTTATACAGAGAAACCGTGTCTTCAAAAACCAAAACATTAAATTAAATAAACCAAAACCCAAAACCCAAAACTCAAAAAACAATGTCAGAAATTGCGTGGAAGCATCTTAACTTCACAGGGGTTTGTAGAATTTCTTTTTCCGATGGCCTTGCCCATCGGACTTGACACACTATAGATGAAAGGAGAGAAAAATGGAAAAGGTTTGTATGTGAACCAGGAGTCAGAGCTTGGGTGTGCTATTCATTAAAAACAAAACAGTCCACGTGGCATTTCTAGAGGCAAGGCCCGTTTCTGTGGTTCCGTTGTAACTTTTGGAGACAGGGTTCCTCTGTGTAGCTCTGGCCAACCTGGGACTCACTCTGTAGACCAGGCTGGCCCCAAACTCACAGATCAGTCTGCCTCTGCCTCCCCAGTGCTAGGACTAAAAGTGTTTGCCACCACTACCTGGCTGAATTCTTTTTCTTTTAACCTGAGGCAAGGAATAGCTCCAGGAAATAAGTCTCTCGTCATAAAGCCATGTACAGCCAAGTTGGGTCCTTGCTGACTATTACGGGGAAAACAGTCACTTCATTAAAATTAATTACATTCCTACACAATTTCATTTAAAAATACTTTTTTGTTTCATTGAGACAAGGTCTCTCTATGTAGCTCTGGCTACCCTGAAACTCACTGCAAAGACCAGGCAGGCCAGCAGTCTTCCTGCCTCTGTATACTGGGTGCTAGAATTACAAGTGTATGTCACCATGCCTGATCTGTATAATTTCCATCATTGAAGAGACAGCCACTGCTAAGCTTCTGGTATGTTCTGTGTATTCGGGCATGAACCTGTATTATTACTTAGAGTCACTTGGTTACAGCTGTAATAAATACACATAGTAGAGCTAAGGGTCAGGCCATCTCTCAAACACAGGGAAGAAGACAGACATTGAAGTGGAGACACCCAGCAGAACACAGAGCCAGGAGTCAGTCTGCGGGCCCATCTTCCCATGCTGTGGATGACCAAGAGGCTGCATGACAGCAGACATACAAGGCAGGCAGGCCAAACCTTCTGGAAAGAGCTGAGTGTCTGAGTCGAACTGGCCGTGGAGCTCATGCCTCTGATTCTGGTTCCCTCATTCCTCTCTGAGTCCCCGAGTCAGCTGAGCATACAGCTCAATGAGACGTCATGACTGTGTTTGACCACTTGCTACGAGTTTGGCATGATCTTCTTTCACGTGAATGTATACATGCATTACATACATACATGGATCCCACATAGCCTTATGATGGAGACACTGCTGTGAGTTTGGCTGTCTTGAGTTGGTCCATGAGTTTAAGGGTGCTTGTGCACCTAAGCACAGGCACAGAGGACAGAGACCTCAGAGGTCCTGCCCTATCGCCCTTCTCCACATTACACAGTCTCCTTGGACAAGGCCTCTCACCGAACCGCAAGCTCACCGTTTTCTTTTTAAAAGCTAGGCTGGCTAGTCATCAAGTCTCAGCAATCCTCCTGTCTCTGCCCACCTCCTTCCAGCACTGGGCTTAGAGGTGCATTAGGCCACACCTGGCTTTTCCATGGGTGCTGACTATCTGAAACCAGGTCCTCGTGCTTTTACAGCAGGTACCCTTACCCACCTCCCTGGCTGCAAGATGTTGTTATTGTAAGAAGCAAGACTGGAGCCACCACTGGAGACCAGGAAAAGGCAACTGTTGGCATGAATGCTCTACCAAGATTCCATCTTTCAAGATGTATTTATATGTGAATGTGTGATTGCCTGTGTGTATGTATGAGCCACACGTACATGAAGTGCCTGAGGAGACCAGAAGAGCACAATGAACCCCTGGGGACTGGAGTTATAGAAAGCTGTGAGCTGGCCAGGCATTGCTGGCGCCCGCCTTTAGTCCCAGCAATCGGGAGGCAGAGGCAGGCGGATCTCTGTGAGTTCGAGACCAGCCTGGTCTACAAGAGCGAGTTCCAGGACAGCCTCCAAAGCCACAGAGAAACCCTGTCTCGAAAACCCAAAAATAAAACAAAACGAACAAACAAAAAAGCAAAACCAAACCAAACCAAACAAAACCATGTGGGTGCTGGTGTCAACCCCCTGGCCTCCTTAGCCACGGAGCCACCTCTCCAGCCCCCAGCCCCCACCATTCCTGACTTACTCGAGTCACCCAGTCCCACTTACGTTGGGCATATTGTGGAAGAAGCTTCCCATCTTCACCATCAGGAGCACCATCACACCTGCGCCTACCAGAGATGCAAACTGAGGAGATAGAGCCAGTTGGAGAGAAACCATCAGGAGCAGTGCTGGTCCTTGCCTGCAACTGAGGCCTTCTGTTTGCTGGGAAGTGTGCCGCTTTTTTTTTTTGTTGTTGTTTTCTTAAGAGGAGTTGGGGGTTTTAGGATCTTAATGAAGCATTTAGCACATAGTAGGTGCTTTGTAAGTCACTTTCAGGATCTTAGAAAAGCATTTGACACATAGTAAGTCCTTTGTAACTGTCAGCAAATGCTGCCTGCAAAGTTTTAGTCTTCCCTGGAACCCTTGTCATCGCTTGGAAGTATGGATCTCCTGAGATATATGGCTATATTCCTTCAAAACTTTAGCCTCTCCTCACACAACTTAGAAACCCCACTCCCGAGCAGACACCTTACTGACAGCCCCCAGTTCCACCCATTCTACTTCCTGTGTAAATAAATGCCCCGTCCGTCCCTGTGTTGTTGGGAGCTTTGACAACTTCCCATCTGCAATGGTGTTTCATCTTTGCTTTGCTTTGTACTTGAGACAGGATCTCATGATGTAGCCCTGGCTGTCTTGGAACTCACTCTGGAGACTAGTTTGGTCTTGAACTCACAGAGATCCTCTAGTCTCTGCTTCCTGAGTGCTGGGGTTAAAGGTGTGCGCCCCCATGCCCGGTGTGTTTCATCATTTAAGGCCATTTTGATTTCACGAGGGTGAGAATCTGCCTGCGTGCATCTATTTGCACCATGTGTATGCCTGGTGCTTGAGGAGCCCACAAGAACATACTGGATATTCCAGTGCTGGATGCTTGCGAGTCGCCTGATGTGGGTGCTGGGAATCGAACCTAGGTCGTCTTTAAGAGCAGACATACTCTTAACCACTGAGTCATCTCTCTAGAACCCCAGTAGAGTTGGAAAGGAGTGCTGGGATTACAGGCATATGCTACCATGTGCCCCCTCACAATGACTTTTAAGACAAAGTCTGAGCAAAAATGAAAATGAGCATGAGGTCCAAACCCTTCCCACAGAGTATCTCCACTGACTAGAACATTACAAAGAAGTCAACCCAGACGAAGCCCTTCTACAGACAGCCATGCAGACAGACACACATCTCTTTCCTTATCGGGAAGCACTAGGGATGGGAACCCTTTCCAACACACCTGCTGTCTTCCTCCAGATTTGTCTTGGATAATAGTCCTGGCCATGGCACCGGTAAACACACAACATCTGAAAAAGGAGCTGACCACGTTGCAAAGGCCGATGGCTATCAAATCCTGTGAACAAACAGCAGAGCCTTTGAGCCCACACTTGTGGAGGAATCTGACTTTGAGCTAGAGGTACACTGCTTGGTGAGGCCCTTCCAACAACACTGGGTTGTAGCCTCAGGAAGCACACGGGGAGGACCGATCCAATCTTTTGTCGACCTTACACTGTGTCTCTGCCCTAGCCTCTGACCATAGGGAAGCACTTTCTGACTCCTGCCTTTCCTCTTTCTCGTGACCCCTGGGACTTGCACACGCAGAGAGAGCTCAGTGCTGGCTCTCTCCCTCTACACTAACCTACATGTCTGCCTGGGACACCACTTGCTTCTGTGTCCCTCTTGACATTTCAGGAAAGTACCACTTTCAGAGTAGTTGGAGACTTTTCCTAAAAAAAGTCAAAGCAGAGGCCAAAGGCAGGGCACTGTCATCATGTGCAAGCAGCCTGGTTCTGTGTGTGCTATCTGAGGCACTGGCACCCCAGCCACACGGAAGCCAAAGTCTGCAGGCTCAGCGGCAACAAGCCATAGGTTATCTGCCACTCTCTGTCATCACTGTTTCAACACAGGGTCTCATGTAGCCCAGGCTGGCTTCACTCGCTACGAAGCTAAGGCTGGCCTTTAACTCCTGATCCTGCCTGTGCCTCCTGAGCACCACCCACCTGGTTTAATTCCTTTGCCTCCCTCCATGGTGTCCACACCAGGGACTAATGCTTATATGAGTTCAAGGGGGTTCAAAGTCACACATCCTCTGCTTCTCAGACACCACGTATGATGACAATCCAAATTATGGTCCAAGTGATTCTGGTTAATGGGGAATGTAACCCTCAAGTTGGTAGAGGGCTTGCATGGGAGAACAATCATATCGGAGAACAGGGGCACATGGTCCCCCTCACCTGGTTGGAATTGATTCTGTAGTTGTGCAAGTTGGCAATCTTCTTGCCCAGAGATACGATCAAAAAGGAGCTCACTAAAGATAAAGATATGGCTTGTAAAATAATAGTGGGAAGAATGCCGAAGTCTGGAGTCTCCGGGAACACGAAGCCCCCGCCTCCCATTTTTCCTTCTTAACAATGAAGGACAGCTGGGCGGTGGTGGCGCACACCTTTAATCCCAGCATATGGGAGGCAGAGGCAGGCTGATCTCTGTGAGTTTCGAGGCCAGCCTGGTCTATAAGAGTTAGTTCAGGACAGCTCCAAAGCCACAGAGAAGAAACCCTGTCTCGAAAACCAAAACCAAAACCAAAAAACCCCCAAAACAAAGCACAAACAAACAAACAAACAAAAACAATGAAGGACAAACAGAGCAATGGAGGCAGCAGGTTGTCCAGACAGCCAACGAACTGAGCCAGGTTACAAAGGTCAGCATCCTCTGTGGTTCTCTGGTCCTAACTTTACCATGAGAGCAAGCAGCAGGTGTGATTGGGGGAAATGTCTCTGCTGTTGAGAGAGTTCTGGGGGTATACTGAAGGTTGCCCCTGCATCCAGGATGCTTTAGAGCTAAGAGGCTCCATGAGTCCTTTCTGTCCACACTCACTGCCCTTCATTCAGGTATATACAAATTCCACCCACACCTTCTCTCCTGCAGGGTTTTGTTTGTTTTGCTTTTAATTTTGAGTCAGAATCTCAGGTATCCCAGGCTGATCTGGAGTTCCTAGTCCACCATCTGTACCTCTGCAGCACTGGAGTTCCATACAGTTGGGCACCGTCAATGCCTGGCTCATTGAACTGTGCACTTTAAAGAATGAATCTTCCCGTATGTCAACAAGGTGGTTAAAGAGCAGTGCAAATGGCTTTATACCAATATTTGATAGTTCAGAATAAATGAATGAAAACTTTGAATGACCCAAATCCACGATGTGTTCTCCGGGAGAGACAGATAACCCAAAGCAGATGTAAGGATCACACAGTATTACCGTTGGTAGCTACTGTCAACTTGAATGATCCAGTCACCTGGGAGATGCAACTGTGGGCATGTCTGGGGGATTCCCTCCATTGCTTTAATTAAGGTGGGAAGATTTGCCCACGGTGGATGGAGCCAGGACCTGCAAAGTCTTGTGATCGCCCACTTTAAGCTCTGCCACCCTGACCTCCCCCAGCATGAGAGGCTGTACACTTGCAGTATACACCGCACTGAACCCTTTCTCCCTCAAGTTGCTTTTGTCAGAGAGTATTTTACCAGAAGAAAGTGACGGAGATGCAATAAGAGTTTGTTTTAATGACAAACAAACTGGGCACGAGCATTTGCCTGTAAAAAACCCAGAACCTGGGAAGAGGAGTTCAGAGGATCAAGAGTTCAACACCAGACTTCAAGGTTAGGCTGCCTAAGATCCTATCTCAAAAATGAACTTTAAAAATAGCACACTTAGGGGCTGGAGAGGCGGCTCAGAGGTTGAGAGCACTGACTGTTCTTTCAGAGGACCTGAGCTCAATTCTCAGCAACCACATGGTGGCTCACAACCATCTGTAATGAGATCTGTGCCCTCTTCTGGGTGCAGACATACATATAGGCAGAACACTGTGTGCATAATAAATAAATCTTCAAAAAATAGCACACTTAAAACTGAATTATAATTAAAACCTTCCTACAGTGAAACCTTCAGACCTACATAGCTTCACTGGTGGATTCTACCAAGTGTGTAGGAAGAAATCATGCCAGTTTTATAGAAACTTTGAGAAATTGAAGACATTATAAGGAAAAGACAATCCCAGCCAATGTTTTTGATGACTATAACAGAAGAGATCTGACCAATGTATAAAATGATAATATAACAGGACCACACGGGGCATGAGAGGGTTAACCTTCAAATGTGCTTAACATTCATGATAGGAAAAGACAAAAAAGGAAGAGAAATCCTGATGGTTTTGGAGCAAGCATATACACACACACACACACACACACACACACACACACACGGTGACACAATCCTTTAAACCTATTTAGGAGCATGGATATGTACCGTCTTTCATTTCTCTATATTTGTGGTAGACTTTTTGTTTTTTGGTGAGCAAATAATAGCTTATCTAATTAAAACTTCTTAGTTCATGCTTAAAGCCTACTTCTCCCTTTCTGTTCATTTATGAAGTTGTGTAAGAAAGTGACGATTCTAAAGAGGTAAATAATAAAAACAGTCTCCAACAATACAGGCCACTCTTTTTCCCTCCTGCTGTTGTCTGTGTCCTCAATTCTTTTTTTTTCCCCCCTTGGTTTTTCGAGACAGGGTTTCCCTGTGTAGCCCTGGGTGTCCTGGAACTCACTCTGTAGACCAGGCTGGCCTCCAACTCACAGAGATCCGCCTGCCTCTGCCTCTCAAGTGCTGGGACTAAAGGTGTGCACCACCACTGCCCTGTGCTCAGTTCCTATCACCAAGTCAGGATTAAATGGACGCAAAAGCTGGGTGTGACGGCACATTTGTAGTCCCAGCACTCGGGATGTGCACGCTGGAGGAGCAGGGATTCAAGGCTGGCCTGAATTACCTGTATATCAAGAGCCAAAACCACCACCAAAAGCAACAAGACAGAAAACAGAAGCATGAACCATGAGTTAAGTTATAGTGTCCAATTTGACCAGTTCCTGCCAGCCATGGACTGAAAAACAAGGAGGGGTGGCTCGGATAAAGAATTTTCAAAGCAATGTTTGAATTTGGTTTTTGAGATGCTTTCTTCTCTGCACGTGAATCCCATGGCGGAAGATAAGCTGACGTGGGGGGCTGTGTGCTCTGGAGGCCATTAAGAATACAGACCAGGGGGAGCCAGAGAGACGGCTCAGAGGTTAAGAGCGCTGACTGTTCCTCTACAGGTCCTGAGTTCAATTCCCAACAACCACATGGTGGCTCACAACCATCCGTAATGGCTCACTGTCATCCGGTACCTTCTTCTGGCATGTAGGCCTACAAGCAGGCAGAACACTGTACACATAATAAATAGATAAATCTTTAAGAAAAAAATCCAAACCGGGCCGAGAGATAGCTCAGTGGGTAATGCTCACTGATGCTCTTCACCAAGCTGACATCCTGAGTGTGACTCCTGGGACAAACGTGGCATAAGGAGGAGAGAACCAGTTCCCACAAGTTGTCCTCTGACCTCCACATGCATGCTGTGGTGTGCACGCCTCCCCCCCCCCCATGTAAGGAAAAAAACACAAACAAAAAACTCTTTAAAAAGAACGCAAGTTGCTGGGCATGGTGGGACACACACCTTTGATCCCAGCATGCTGCTGGAAGGCAGAGGCAGGCTAGCCTGGTCTACAGAGTGAGTTTCAGGACAGCCAGAGCTGTTACACGGAGAAACCTTGTCTCAAAAAAAAAAAAAAAAAAGAATGTAAACTCACTGAGGATTGGGATAGTCAAATAATTATCATCATAGACTTTAGGATTATACAGAAAGGAGTTTAAAAGTAGGTGTGCCACTGTGTGGGTATATGTCATCTAAATGTGACGAGCCTCAGTTTCCCCCACAAGAAGGCAGAATCCTCTTGCACTACTAAGGGAGGAAGATGACGTCAATATGCTAATGTCCATTCCTTCACTGTCCTTGTCACCGGACTGTCCCTTGTCCTCCTTCCCGTGGTGCATAGGTGGTGTCTCTTCTTAGGATTTCAAATGCAGTTGGCCACCACTGCATTTCACAGGGCCGGCTTCACCATGACTGTAGAAGACACCCTGCCTCTGTTGTCCTGGAGTTCAGCCAGTGACCCCCGTGCCTTGGGATTCCCCTTCTGCCTGTGGGTCAGGACGCTGCAGTCTAGTCCTTTCTCGTCAATTCAAAACGGTCACTGTCTACTCTTAGCAAGAGTCTGCCCTATCGTCATTCGAGAGATGAAACCAAACCCAAGGATTCGTGAGTCCCTCAGAGCTGCCGGCTTATTCAAAGATTACCTACCCGATGGAAACAGAAACGTTCAATGGCAGAGCGGTTGCTGTGCCTGTGAAGAGGTCCTAGCTTCCATCGCAGCACAAGAGAGAGACAGGGACAGGAAGGGAGAGCTGCTGCAACCCACAATTCCCAAGTGTGTGTTGGTGAAGCGGCACTTCTCCCCCAGCACGGACTCTGTCAGAGACGCTACAAAAGGGCTCTCTTGTTACAAGTGCTCTTTCCTGTCAGCCTGGTACCACAGCCGTGTCAGCCCCAAATGAACACACAAACGCTATATTAATTATGAAACTGCTGGCCAGTGACTTGGGCTTCTCATTGGCTAGCTCTGTCTTAATTATTAACCCATGTCTATTAATCTCAGTATTTCCTCTTGGTCTTATCTTACCCGAGAAGGGTCGGGTCCTCTCACCCCTTTTCGGTCTCACATGGCATCTGACTCTGACTTCATTTCCCAGAATTCTCCTCGTCTGGTAGCCCCTCTTATCCTTCCTGCCTGGCCACTAGCCAATCAGTGCTTTATTCAGTAAGAGAAACGTGTGTACAGAAGACACCCCCATCATCCTCTCATTCCAGCTTTTTGGTGATTTTTTTTAGGGGGGAGGGTGGGGGTTTCATGCAGACCAGGCTACCCTTGTGGTTGATGTATAGCCAAGGCTAGCCTTTAACTCCTGATCCTCCTGCCTCCACCTCCAAAATGCTGGAATTACACTATGTGCCTGGCTTTCTTGTTAGGCTCTTGAAAGTTAATCAGACAAGGGTGGGGCTCTGTGAGGCTCATATGGCTTCAGAAAAAGGGCTCAAGTCTCTGGTGTTCTGGGCATCCGGCAGGTGTCTTAGTAAGCTGACAGGCTCTCTTATGAGAAAAGTGAGCAAAGAAGAAACAGAAGACGTGCTGGCCCGTTTATTCACAACCTCTGTTCTACACTTGATATTGGCTGTAAGGGTGAGAACTGACCCTGTGTTCTAGGTAGACTTAGCTGTAGCCAAGTACCCCTAGGGAAGTCTTGAGCCAGGCTGTGTGGAGAGAGGCCTAGAGAGGGCGATGACATGGGAGAGCAGCTGGCCAAGAAGGTGCGCCTATCATCCCAGCACTTTCGAGTTTGTAGCAGGAGGACTGTGAGTTTGAGGCCAACCTGGGCTATATAGTAAGACCCTGCCACAAAAAAAAAAAAAATAAAATAAAATAAAAATAAAAAAATAAAGGAAAAGCGGTCCTGAAAGGTGGGATGATGCCAGTTGGCGGTACTGGTGCACGACTTTAATCCCAGTACTTCAGATGCAGAGGCAGGTGGGTCTCTGAGTTCGAGGCCAGCCTGCTCTATAGAGTGAGTTCCAGGTCAGCCAGGGCTGTTACACAGAGAAGACTGTCTTGAAAAACCAAAACCAGGGGCTGGAGAGATGGCTCAGAGGTTAAGAGCACTGACTGCTCTTCCAGAGGTCCTGAGTTCAATTCCCAGCAACCACATGGTGGCTCACAACCATCGTTATGAGATCTGGTGCCCTCTTCTGGTGTGCAGATATACATGGAAGCAGAATGCTGTATACATAATAAATAAAAAAAAATCTTAAAAAAAAAAAAGAAAGAAAAAAGAAAAACCAAAACCAACCAACCAACCAACCAAACAGGAAGACAGGCTGGCAAAATGACTGACCTATAAGGGATCATGTTAACCAACATCTTGCTGCTTTCTGTAGCCATGCTTATCTTGTTTGTGAGTATGGAGAAGCCAAGAATCTGTCGGGAGTTAAAAGGAGAAGCATATGATTACATTCTGTGCATTGCTCCCAGGGTGAGGTGCAGAGGCCCCAGCACAGCAGAGAATGAAACAAGGGCCGTCCTGACGGGAACATCCAGAGAGGCCTCTGCTCTGATTCTCCAGGCTCCCTCCGGCACTGGAAACAAAGCCCCGGCAGCCCCGGCCTCTGATGCACAGATGGAGACAGAAAGATATGGGGGCTTCTCTCTCCTCCGGCTTCCAGCACAGTCACCACCAATGTGTGTGTCCCAGGTGCCCGCAGGCCCCTCCGCTGGCTAACCAGAACTCCAGGTTCAGTGAGAGTCTCTCAGAAGAACAAGGAGAAGGGGCTGGAGAGATACCCAGGGCTTAAAAGCAAGTGCTTGTTCTTCCAGAGGGCCCAAGTTCAGTTCCCGGCACCCACATGACTGGCTCAGAACCATCTGTGCCTGCTGCTCCAGGGGACCCAATATCATCTTCTGGACCCCGAGGGCACTTATATTCACAGGTGTATTCCCCAACATATGCACATACAGCGAATTTTAAAAAATCTTTTAAAAACTAAAAGAAAAGCCAAGGTAGAGAGCAACAGAGGAAGAAACCTGATGCCAACCTCTGGCCTCTACATGTGCTACATGGGCAAGTGCTCTCAAACACGTGTGTGCATGCTACACACCACACGCATAACACATTTTAAAAACATAGCATTTGGGTAAAGAGTATTGGTACAGCCTGGGACCTATGGTTAACAATAGTGTATGTAGACTTGAACACTAGGGAAGCGATAGATCTTGAATGTTTTCACAATGAAAAGATGGTCCCTGGCCATGGGCTCTGTGTCCATTAGCTGGCCATGGCTCTATGTCTGTTATCTGGCCATGGGCTCTATGTCTGTTATCTGGCCATGGGCTCTATGTCTGTTATCTGGCCATGGGCTCTATGTCTGTTGTCTGACCATGGACTCTATGTCTGTTGTCTGGTCATGGGCTCTATGTCTGTTATCTGGCCATGGGCTCTTTGTCTGTTAGCTGGACATGGGCTCTGTGTCCATTAGCTGGCCATGGGCTCTTTGTCTGTTAGCTGGCCATGGGCTCTGTGTCTGTTGTCTGACCATGGACTCTATGTCTGTTGTCTGGCCATGGGCTCTATGTCTGTTGTCTGGCCATGGGCTCTATGTCTGTTGTCTGGCCATGGGCTCTATGTCTGTTAGCTGGCCATGGGCTCTGTGTCTGTTGTCTGACCATGGACTTTATGTCTGTTGTCTGGTCATGGGCTCTATGTCTGTTATCTGACCATGGACTCTATGTCTGTTGTCTGGCCATGGGCTCTATGTCTGTTATCTGACTATGGACTCTATGTCTGTTATCTGACCATGAACTCTATGTCTGTTGTCTGACCATGGACTCTATGTTGTCTGGCCATGGGCTCTATGTCTGTTAGCTGGCCATGGGCTCTTTGTTTGTTAGCTGGTCATGGGCTCTGTGTCCATTAGCTGGCCATGGGCTCTTTGTCTGTTAGCTGGTCATGGGCTCTGTGTCTGTTGTCTGACCATGGACTCTATGTCTGTTGTCTGGCTATGGGCTCTGTGTTCATTAGCTGGCCACAAACTCTCTGTCTGTTGTCTGGCCCTGGGCTCTGTGTCTGTTGGCTGGCCATGGGCTCTATGTCTGTTGTCTGGCTATGGGCTCTGTGTTCATTAGCTGGCCACAAACTCTCTGTCTGTTGTCTGGCCATGGGCTCTGTGTCTGTTGTCTGGCCATGGGCTCTTTGTCTGTTAGTTGGTCATGGGCTTTGTGTCTGTTAGCTGGCCATGGGCTCTGTGTCTGTTGTCTGACCATGGACCCATGGACTCTATGTCTGTTGTCTGGCCATGGGCTCTATGTCTGTTAGTTGGCCATGGGCTCTTTGTCTGTTAGCTGGTCATGGGCTCTGTGTCCGCTAGCTGGTCATGGCTCTATGTCTGTTGTCTGGCTATGGGCTCTGTGTTCATTAGCTGGCCATAAACTCTTTGTCTGTTAGCTGGTCATGGGCTTTGTGTCTGTTAGTTGGCCATGGGCTCTGTGTCTGTAACCCCATAAGTTGAGGGCAGGCTGAGAGTTGGAGGCCAGCTTGAGCTGCCTGGTAAGAGCCTGTTTCAAATAAACAGAAACAAAGGAGTAAAGGAGATCCTATGTGTGGTGGCAGAGGTGCTGACCAGCCTGACTAAACAAAACTATAACATGCCAAAACCTCTCCTTGTGCAAGCAAGTATATAACATTCCTTTTGTCAAGAATGCCTGGGCAAAACCCACATTTTTAAAAAATGAAAGCACATGTCTGATTGAGAAGGTCAAAGCACTTGCTGGGTGCTAGCCTGATGAGCGGAGTCTGATCTTGGGACTCAGTGTGGAAGGAGAGGGCCAACCCCACCAAACTGTTATCTGACCTTCACACATACATTGTAGAACTTATGTGCATGTGTGCTCAACATACACATAAGAATAACAAATTAAAAAATAAAATAACGATAAAGCATTTTGTAGCTAGGTATGATAGCCCCTGGCTGAGGCAGGAGGACTGTTATGAATTTGAGGCCAGTCTGGGCTACATAGTGAGACTCTATTTCAAAATACCAGGCGGGGAAGGGGGGGAGATGAGGGAGGGAGGGAAAAAGAGGGAGAGCAGAGAGACAGAAAGACAGAGACGGAGAGACAGACTTTTACAAAAATAGCATACATTTAAAACTGTATTCAGAGTACAGGAGAGAGGGCTTGGTGGTTAAGAGCACTGGCTGCTCTTGCAGAGGAACTGGGTTCAATGTCCACAACCTACATGGCAGCTCACAACTATCTGTAACTCCAGCTCCAGGGGACCTGACCCCTTTTCTGACTCCTCGGGCACTAGGCACACATGTGGTGCCTTGCATACATGCAGTAAAACACACACATAAAATAAAGATAAATAACTCTAAACAAAACAAAAACCCTGTAGCTGCTTTGACCTGACTCAACATGTTTCTTTTTGACAGAGACTGATGTTATTATAATGTGTTTGTGTATATTACATATGTATAGAGTAGTGTTCATGGAACCAGGAGAGGACTCTGATTCCTGGAGCTGCTGTAGGGTCCTGAACCTCTGGAGGCAGGTCCTGGGGCCTGAACTCAGATCTTCCAGGAGCAGCAAACACTCTTTTTTTCCTTTGTGGTTTCTTGTTTTGATATGTTTGTTTTGTTGCTGTTTGTTTTACTTTTGGAACAGGGTTTCTCTGTGTAGCCCTGGATGCCTGGAACTCACTCTGTAGACCAGGCTGGCCTCAATCTCATAGAGATCTGCCTGCCTCTGCCTCCCGAGTGCTGGGATTGAAAGTACAGCAAACACTCTTTTTTTGTGTGTATGTGGGAGAGGGTTCGACACAGGGTTACTCTGTGGCTTTGGAGGCTGTCCCGGAACGAGTTTTTGCAGACCAGGCTGGTCTCAAACTCAGAGATCTGCCTGCCTCTGCCTCCAGAGTGCTGAGACTAAAGGCGTGCACCACCAACGCCCGGCTACAGCAAGCACTCTTAACCATCTTCCCACCCTCAATTTTTGTTTTATAGTATCTTCTTTGCCTTCCTAGATTATATGTTTTATGCTTTTGTTTGTTTGCTTGTTTTTCAAGACAGGGTTTCTCAGTAGCTATGGAGCCAGTCCTGGGTCGCTTTGTAGACCAGACTGGCCTCAAATTCACAGAGATCTGCCTGCCTCTGCCTCCTGAGAGTGGGGATTAAAGGAGTGTGCCACCACAACCCAGGCTTATGTTTTTTTTTTTTTTTTCTTTTTTTAAGTGAGTATCTGCAGTCACTCATGGACACCTACCAGGAACAGCTCCATGGGGAACTCGATGGGGTACCGGTTGAAAGAGATACGGATGCATTTGTTGATCCTGAGAGCCACCACAGCGGTGAGGAACAGCAGGATGCTGGTGGAGTTGGCTTTGGGGAGAGCTATGCAATAGTTGATTATGTTCTGAAAGAAGAAAACATTGCACAGACTTCCTTAGGGACATCACAGTGGCTGACGTCTAAAAACAGGCATTGTTCTCAGCAGATTCAGGAGCAATGAAGAGCTGCTGGGCCCACTGGGCTCTACCGGGGAACACTGTGTGGTTTGGGTAGCTTTCCTCCATGCTAGGGATTGAACCTGGAGCCTCACTCACATTGGGAAAGTGCTCTCCCACTGCACTATGTCTCCAAAGCCCTCTATTTCATCTTTTTGACATGAGGTCTCATTAAATTGCCCGTGCTGGCCCTGAACTCATCTTGAAGCTCAAGTGGGCTTTCAACTTGAGCTCTTCCTGCCCCAACCTCCCAAATCAGTGAGATTACAAGCCTGAGCCACCAGACTTACTTGGTTTGTTTATTTGTTTGTTGTTTTTGGTTTTTAAAGTGAAGAGTAGATACTTAAAAAGGCAGTAAAGTTGAATGAGAACGCTTTGTTTGTTTTGTTGTGGCCTTGTGATTACAAACATTTGCCTGCCTCTGCCTCTCAAGCACAAGAGTCCTATTGTTAGTCTGCCCACTACTATTTCTCAGGCCAGGCCTGTTCTTCTGCTGAACTTCTGTTTCACTTTTGCATCCAGGGGCTACTTACACCTCTGTATATTTAGGGTACAAGTCTGGCATCTGATAGGGAGAGTTATGAAATAGTACCTTCATGATGAAATTTAATTTTTTTTTACATTTAGTTCCTTAGTATATGAGTGTGTGAGTGTATATGTGTATACCCAACTTTTAGTAGTCATTCTCTCCTTCCAGCAGGCAGGCTACATGGGATGCAGCTGAGGCTTGCACACTTGCTGGCAGTCAATTTTGCCAGCTGAGTCATGTCACTGACCTAATGGCCAATTTGTTGTTTTTTTTTTGGGGGGGGGACAGGGTTTCTTTGTGTGGCCCTGGCTGTTCTGGAACTCTGTAGACCAGGCTAGCTCTGAACTCAGAGATCTACGTGCCCTGTCGCAAACACAAGGGGGGGGGCTGGAGAGATGGCTCAGAGATTAAGAGCTCTGGCTGTTCTTCCAGAGGTCCTGAGTTCAATTCCCAGCAACCACATGGTGGCTCACAGCCATCTGTAATGAGATCTGGTGCCCTCTTCTGGCCTGCAGGGATACATGCAGACAGAACACTGTAGACATAAGAAATAAATAAATGAAAACGCTGAACTGAAGAGGCTGTTGTGTGTGAGCACATGCTCCAGCCTGCTTCTGCAGTTGGCCAAGACCCTGAGTCTACAGGAGATGGAGTTAGTTCAGGGCCCCTCTTATCCTTTTGGTACAGGCAGAAGTTTGCCTACTCGGGGCCCACTTTTCTTTCTAAGTCAGAAGAGGGGTGTGTGAACTCTGGGAGGGGTTTGAGGTTACTCACATAGAAGAAGGAGATGGGACCAGCATGGAAACTGATCATAATCCCAAAGACACACGTCATCTGGGCCAATATGATGTGCAGAGCCACCGCAGCCAGGTAAGCACTGATGGCAGCCTCCGGCAGGTATGTGGCCACAAAGCCCATCCCCATCATACCCATTGACAGCTGTGGGGGTGGAAAGAAAAGGAAAAACAAAGAGACTCAGGTCACTGTGCTGGCCAGTTTTATGTCAACTGGAAACAGGCTAGAGTCATCTGAGAGGAAGGGACCTCAATTGAGAAAATGGCCCGATAAGATGATAGGGGTGTCCCTCTGTGTACATGTTTCTCTCATTGGTTGATGACTAAAACACTGATTGGCCAGTAGCCAGGCAGGAAGCATAGACAGGGCACCAGACTAGGAGGAGAATTCTGGGAAGAGGAATACAGAGAGAAGCCGCCAGGGAGATGCCATGAAGCCACCGCAGGAGTGACAGGTCTGGGTATTCTCTGGTAACATAAAGCCATGTAGGAATACATACAGTCGTAGTTATGTGTTAATAAAGAGAGAGCTAACCAGTATGAAGTGTGAGCCATCAGCCAAACCATTTATATTTAAGCCTCGGTGTATTCATTTGGGACTAAAGGGCAGCAGAACTTGGCAGAACAGAAACTTAAGTCCACAATAAGTTCTGGTTGTAAGCAAGCCTGTAGGGCATTTTCTTAATTAGTGATTGATGGGGAAGGGCCAAGCCCATTGTGGGTGGTGCCATCCCTGGCTGGTGGCCCTGGGTTCTATAAGAAAGCAGGCTGAGCAGGCCATGATGAACAAGTCAGCAAGCAGCTCCCCTCCATGGCCTCTGCATCAGTTCCTGCCTCCAGGTTCCTGCCCTGTGTGAGTTTCTGCCTTCATTTCACTTCTATAATAAACTGTTATATAGAACTATAACTGAAATAAGCCCTTTCTTCCCCAAGGTGCGTTTGTCATGGTGTTTCATCACAGCAATAGTAACCCTAACTACAACAGTCATCAAGTCAGCAATAGCATCAACTGGACTCCCCAGGAGCCCCAGGGACTCCGCTCAAAAAGACCAGGGGAACCTTGGAGAACTCCCCAGGCACTCTTTCCCCGGTGAACGGGGGTCCTTGGGCATTGACTCAGAGGTTCCCAGAAAGCATCAGCCCATGCTCTTGTTTGTCTTCTGAAACACTGGCAGCTGTTATGTTCTTTCCCTGGACTCTCTGCCCCCTGGATGGACATGGAGGACCAGCAGCAGAAGACCGACAGGGATGAGGCTCATCTTTTCCGAGGCCTTGGGTTGCAGCCCCTCTCACCTCTGTGAGGAGTGTGGTATTTCACAAAGGAAAAGACAGCAGAGCGAGCTAATAAGGAGAATCTGATGCGGTGGTGCACACCTGAAGCTCCGGCACTCAGGAGGTGGAGGCAGGAGGATCAGGAGTTCAAGGTCATCTGTGACTACATAGTGGGTTCAAGGCCAGCCTGGGCTATGGGAGACCCTGTCCCAAAACAAACACACAAACCCAAGTGCCACATCAAACTTCCTGGCCTTGTGACTCCTGTGTATTGAGAATGACTCAAGGGGGGCTGCCATGGTGGTGCACACATTGTTATGTTATTGTTATTGTTATTGTTATTGTTATTGTTATTATACGTGTAGTGTTTGGCCTGCCTTGTGTCTGCTGTGACCAGAAGAGGACTTCGGATTCCCTGGAGCTGGAGAGATACAAGGTTGTGAGCTGCCAGATGGGTGTCAGCAATGGACCCTGAATTCTCTGCAAGAACAACAAGTGCTCTTCATCATTGAGCCAGCTCCCCGGCCTCGTGCATAAGCCTGTCCTTTTCATTGGAATTTCCCAGGAGAAACCAGCTGTTTTTTTGAGGTGCTTTTCCTTTGTTCTGCTGTTTAAGGGACGTTTTCTCCCCTTTGCCTTTAGTTTTCAGAAGTTTAGCTATAATTTATCTACAGGTGGATTTTTAGTGTTTTTCCTACTTAAGAGTTTTTTCAGGCTGCTAAATTTATACATTTATGTATATAATAAATGTGGGGAGTATATAGCTATCATTTTATAAAATACTTTTCAAGTAGGTCCTCATTCATTCATTCATTCATTCATTCATTCATTTGAATATCATTATGTGGCTCAGGCTGGCCTCAAACTCCTGAGCTCAGGTGATCCTCCGGTCTTGGTCTCCCTACTGGCTACTTCCAGACAGAGGCGGCCCTCAGAGGCACGCTAAAGTGCCAGTCCTCTCTGTCTACACAGAAGTTACCTCACTGGTGCTTCCAATGTGACAGGCTCTTGCTGAGTATCTCACAAAGTCTTTTCATTTGATCCCCTCAAGAGCCTTGCACAACACACCATTCCCATTTTACACGCAAGAGGGCTGAGGCTCACACAAGTGTAAGCATTTCCCCAAGCAGTCAGCTCACAGATGTGGGTGCTGTTCGCTGAGGCAGCACCTTTGTGGCCTTCATGGCTCATGGGGAGATCAGTGAGAATCCACGAGGGGGCGGGTCAGTTGGAAGGGTAGAGAGAGTAGAGGGTAGAGTCTGAAAGAATGGCTGGCTGGCGTATGCTGGGGGAGCTTTAGGTGGTCGGCTCTCAGAGGGCATTGGTGGCACCACCAGAGCAAATGTGGGGACTTTCCTTCAGTGCACTTCTCGGCATTGCAGAGTCACTCTGTCCCAGGTTCTCTGATGCTGGTCAACCCAGAGTTCAGCATGTGACACCACCTTCTTGTCTCAAGGCTAGAAAGAGTGATTTTAAAAGGGGAAAACCAGGAATGGTCTCTAGGCCCCTAGATTCTCTTCTTTCTTAGAAAGGACTGCTGAGAATGGTATTCTAAGTCCTGTGGGCAGTTTCGGAGGCAGGAGACGATGCCTGCCTGAGAAGACTATCTGTACACTCTCCAAGTGCTCAGAGAGAAATCACCATGACTGTGGACACTTCAGTCACAGGAGGGGCCTCACTGTGCCCACACGCCCAGCCAGAGGGAGCTAACATCCATCGTGAGCAAATGGCATTCCCTGACCACTCACATCCCCCAAAACCGGAAGCAAAGAGCAGGCAGGAAGTGGGACTGGATGACAAAACATCCAAGCCTGCCCAGGAGCCCAATTCCTCCATGGGGCTCTGTCTTATCAAGGTTCCAGAGCCTTCCAAAATAGTGCCGCTCACTGGGGAACAAGTGTCCACTCCCAGGAATCTTCATGGGAACAGCTCACATTCAAACCATACCAGGCCCGCCCTTTCTTTAGGTTTTTTGTTTTGTTTTGTTTTGTTTTTTCGAGATAGGGTTTCTCTGTGGCTTCGGAGGCTGTCCTGGCACTCGCTCTGGAGACCAGACTGGTCTCAAACTCACAGAGATCCGCCTGCCTCTGCCTCCCGAGTGCTGGGATTAAAGGCGTGCGCCACCACTGCCCAGCCGTTCTTTAGTTCTTTAAGAACTCAGAGGTTCAGTGCCTACCTGAATAACTCCAGTCAGGAACGTCATGCTTGCCACTACACTTAGGGACCCATTATAGTTCACGTAGAAGGTCGGCTGAGAAAAGTCGTCCTTGACAAACGTTCCCAGGATCAGATGACCATTGTTGAATGGCCTGTCTTTCAGGACATTGATCAACAGAGCGCTCACAAGGAAGAAGGGGCCTGTGGGAGAAGTTTGGGAGACAGATTGCAAGTTTAGAAAAACTGAATAATAATAATGTTGTTGTTGTTATTATTAAAGAACCATGACTGGTTCCATCCTCTTTTTATTTTTTTTTTAGATTTATTTGTTTACTATGTATACACTGTTCTGTCTCCATGTGTGCCTGCAGGCCTGAAGAGGGCACCAGACCTTGTTACAGATGGCTGTGAGCCACCTTGTGGTTGCTGGGAATTGAACTCAGGACCTCTGGAAGAGCAGTCAGTGCTCTTCACCTCTGAGCCATCTCTCCAGCCCACTGGATTATTATCGTTGTTGTTTAACACATCTTCATTGAGAAGGAAGAGAGAGCAGGGATGAGAATGGGGGTTTCACAGGCAGAGCTGGTGGTCCAGGAGTTTCATGGACCCTGGGATTCAAGCACAGACCAGCTGGAAGTTACCGTCAGCCTTAGCCAGCAGGTCTGCACCTACAGACTAAGTCAAAAGAGGATGGAGGGCTGGAGAGACGGCTCAGAGGTAAGAGCACTGGCTGCCGTTCCAGGGGTCCCGAGTTCAAGTCCCAGCAACCATCCGTAATGAGATCCGATGCCCTCTTCTGGCATGCAGGCAGACTACTGTATATATAATAAATAAGCAAATCTTTTTTAAAAGATAGGCATCTTTTTTAAAATTTATTTATTTATTATGTATACAACATTCTGCTTCCATGTATATCTGCACACCAGAAGAGGGCACCAGATCTCATAACGGATGGTGTGAGCCACCATGTGGTTGCTGGGAATTGAACTCAGGACCTCTGCAAGAGCAGCCAGAGCTCTTAACCTCTGAGCCATCTCTCCAGCCCCTAAATAAGTAAATCTTAAAAGCAAAAACGAGGATGGAACCAGGCATGGTGGCACACACTTTTAACCCCAGCACTCAAGAGGCAGAGACCTCTATGAGGTCAAGTTCAGCCTGGTCTACACAGCAAGTTTCAGATTAGCCGGAGCTACACAGTGAGACCCTGTCCAAAGTGGGGAGAGGGGAGGGAGGTTGTCATGAGTGTCACCAGAATAACAGGAAGAAAATTACACCCAGTGCTCCTGAAGGCTTTGCCAACGCAAGGTGAGATGAATTGGCTTCAAGTGGCTTCATTCTGTACTCGTGTTGACATGCACACACCTGGGAACAAAGGTAAGCCTGACCTTTAAAGCCCTAATCCACATTACCCACAGTGCTCGAGCATGACCGTGAGAATGCTTAGGAACTGGGACTCGTGGGAGCAAAGGTGCTTTCTTCATATTCAAATGGAAAAGAACGCATAACGTGTTTGAGACAGGCATGCGCAGATGCCCTTACTGAAGCAGATTAACACCCCGGGTCTAGAGGCTGGGGTGGAGGCCAGGCTGCAGGCAGCCCTGGAGGAGAAACTGACAACAATACTAACTGGTCTCTTCGGTGAGGGTGCAGTGGGAGCCTCTCCAAAGAGCAGTTTTGATTCCTATGCAGGTCTGCATAGGTTCAGTAAATCTTCTCGTTATACGACCTTAGCTAGTCTAGTCACTTCTAAGTTAGTGGACAGACTTCTGGCCCAGGGAAGTGTCTATCCTGTGGATTTCAGTGTTTTGATTACTATGACAGTTTTCTTATTGTAAGTTAACTAAGCTGACAGATTATACTGTAAGTCATGAAGTTTCATTGTTAGGGATCCAGCTGATGACAATCACTAGAGACTTGAGGTTTAAGATTTATTTATTTTGTTTTGTTTCATGTGTACGGGTGTTTTGCCTGAATGTATGCTTGTGTACTGAACATGTGTGTGATGCCCATGGAGGTCAGAAGACAGCATCAGATCCCCTGGAACTGGACTTATAGATGGTTATAAACAGCCATGTGGGTGCTGGGAAGTGAACCTGGATCCTCTGCAAGAGCAGCCAGTGCCCTTGGCCTCTGAGCCATCTCTCCAGCCCCACAGCTGATTTTTAGAGGTACTCAAAGCTAAGGATAATTTTAAGTCTCCAACAAGACTTCAGACTTGGACTTCTGAGCAATGGTGGAACTGTAAAGACCACGGAGAGAGACTCTTTGAGAAAGACAGAATGAACTTTGTACTGTGGGACAGTTGTCGGTCTGGGGAGCCAGGGGTTAGGATGCTATGCTTTGGTCTCAAATGTTCTCTAAAAGCTCATATGTTGAAGTCTTTGTGTTCATGCCACTGGAAGTGGATGAAATAGGTCCCTGAGGACATGCCCTTGAGGAGTAACTCATGTCCCCCGCCCCACGTGTGTGTCTGTGTGGGTATGCATGCTTATATGTCTATGTGTGTGTACACACACATGTGTACATACGTATATTCATGTGCATGCATGAATGTGTGTGAATTGTCTGTGTGCTCATGTGTACGTGTTTGTGTGTATGTGCACATGTATCTGTGTGCATATGTGTACGTGTTTGTGTGTGTGCGCACATGTATCTGTGTGTATATGTGTATGTATCTGTGTGTGTGTGTGCTTATGTGTTTGTGGGCCTACCTGTGTGCACATATATGTGTACAAGTGTGTGCATGTGTACATGCATACACGAATGTGTCTGGGTCTGCATGTGTGTGTGCCTGTGTTTCTCTGTGTGTGTGTATGTGAATATGTGTCTCTCTGTGTGTGCCTGTGTGCCTGTGTGTGTGTATGGCTGTACATGTGCTTCCTGGCGGCCACAGCGAGTGAGTTGCTTTGCTCCACCACACACTTCAGACCATGATGCTAAGCTTTGGGACAGCCCAGAGACAGTGGACCCAAGTGACATGGACTGAAGCCTCTCAAACCCTGAGCCAGTGTCGGCTTCCCTGTTTAAGCTGATGCTCCCAAGCACTTCCCGTGTGCTGACTGAAAGCTGACAAGCACTGGTTGCCAAGCAACAGACATATAACTGACATATCATCTGGCTCCTGTGGCTCCATCATTGAACTCACCGATGGACATTTGATGACATGATCCAAATATCACATAAATGACTGAAGAGCAGAAGGCAGCGTACGTGACGTTGAGAGGAGGGATCAGCTGCCTTGTCAGCAAGCTGAGTGTCAGGCCTGAAAAGCAAAATAACTCAACTGAGGAAAGACAGTAACTTGGCTTTGAAAGTTACCTTAAGCGGAGTGGCGCGGTGGTGGCGCACACCTTTAGTCCCAGCACTGGGTTGGCAGAGGCAGGTGGATCTCTGTGAATCTGAGGCCAACCTGGTCTACAGAGCGAGTTCCAGGACAGCCGGGGCTGTTATTCAAAGAAACTCTGTCTTCAACAAAAACAAACAAACAAAAGTTAAATAAAGGCGGCTACAAATGCTTAGACCATATGTATGTAGCTCTTTACCGTGTCCTAGTTTCCAATGTGCTTTTGTATTTCAGGGTCTCATACAGCCCAGGCTGGCTTCAAACTCACTGTGTATCTGAGAGTGACTCTGAACCTCTGATCCTCCCATCTTCACCTCCCGAGTGCTGGGACTACAGGTCTAAGTCACTGTGCCAGTGTGTGAGTGCTGGAGACGGAGACCGAACCCCAGGGCTTGTGAATGCCAGCAGACACTTTACTGCCTGAGGTACAAGCCCTACATCTGAGCTCTCTCGGTCTCACTAAGTGGTCCTAACACTAGCACAGAAAAGAGACCCTGCCACGTGGGCTCTCTAGCTCCAGCATCGTGGCACAGTGTTCATCCCCTCGCTGCTCTAGGAGGCCTGGGGTGGGGGCTGGACAGAGGGCTAAGCACTGCAGAGCACGTGCTGCTCTTCTAAGGGCCTGGGTTTGGCTTCCAGCACCACGGTTTGGCAGCAGACAACCTCCTGTAACTCCAGTTCCAGGGCATTGGATGCCTCTGGCCTCTTGGAGCACCTGTACTAACGTGTACAGACATACACATACATACATAAATGAAAGTAATAAAGAAAAAGGGCAAGCCCTGGGAATCCTCCAGGCCCAAAGACAGAGGTGGACAACAAAGCAGAAGTCACACAAAATTCACTTGACTTCAGGTTGCCAGACACAGTCTATCTTCAATATGCTAACCACCCCAGTGTCTTTTCTTAGTGTTTATATACAGGGCTTTAAAAATACTCACTTATGCTGAGGGTGGTGGTGCAGCACTGGGCAGGCACAGGCAGATGGATCTCTGTGAGTTCAAGGCCAATCTGGTTTATATAGTGAGTTCCTAGTCTACGCAGAGAGGCCTTGTCTAAAACAAAAACAAACCACCCAAATTCTTGTTTATTACAGTGTGTTCGAGCTTGTGTATGTGTGTGTGCGTGTATGTGTGTGTGCGTGCATGTGTGTGTGGGGGGGGGTCAGAGGACAACTTCATGGAGTTGGCTCTTTCCTTCCATCTTTCCATGGGTTCTGGGGATCGAACTCAGACCATCAGGCTCGCAACCCCAGGCAGTAAGCTCTCTCCCAGCTGAGTTATATCTCCAGTCCCCTGTCTGTTGTGGAATATTAATTTAACTGGGCAAAGGCTGTTACATTGGTTTATGCTGTGGAATGTTACTTTAATATGTGGAGGTGTGTTACATTTGTTTCTGGTGACTTTGTTAATGCTGCATGTGTTTAATTATAGAAAGATGTGTTATATATGTTTCACCTTGCCAGCCTAAGGCACCTGATTGATCTAATAAAAAGCTAAATATCCGCCAGGCTGTGGTGGCGCACCCTTTTAATCCCAGTATTTGGGAGGCAGGGGCAGGCGGATCTCTGAGTTCAAGGCCAGCCTGGTCTACAAAGCTACACAGAGAAACCCCGTCTTGAAAAATCATTAAAAAAAAAAAAATTCGAAACATCCAGTAGCTAGGCGGGGGCTGAGGGTGGGATGGGGAGGGTGGGATTGGCAAGACTGGCAGACAGACAGAATAAGTAGGAGGAGAAAGCTAGGCTTGAGAAAGAAGGGAGTATAGGAAGAAACGGTAACGGTAAGGATGCCATTCCTGTGTTTCCCTTCCGGCCACGCAGCAGAGCTGCTTGTCCCTGAGAGTGGCTGAGGCACAGTGGGTTAGCTTTGGTAAGAAGGCTTTGCATCGCCCTTACCTTGGGGAACTTGAACAAGACCAACACTCAAACCAGCAAGTAAGTCTCCCAGAAGCCAGTCCTTGAACCGGTACAAACACATCCACTCCAGGAAGGGAAAGACCGTAAGCATGCATCGCAGGAACTTGTGCCATGAGCAGCTGGGAGAAAGAAGAACAGAGACTCAGTTAGGTTCTCCGGAGAGACTCCCCCAGCCAAGTAAAGGCTCAGGGGCCCTTGTAGTGCAGGTTCTCATCAGCATGGCCCATGTTTTAACATACTGGACTAAGGTATTCTTTGCTGTGGGACTAACTGTCCTATGCTTAGCATCCCTGGCTTTTATCCACTAGATGTCAGCAGACTTTCCTCCCCTGGCTTAGAGAACCAAAAATATTGAGAAATATCCCCAGAGGACAAAACCACCAGCAAGAATCAGCAAGGTATGTCTGGCAAGAACTGAGACTCACATGCCGGGGTACAGCCAGTTCTATGTTTTTATTGGCTGTTTGGTGAGAGTCAGACTTCAAACTTACCTACTTCTTCTTTTTTGTTTTCTGATACAGTTTCTCTGTGTAGCCGTGGCTGTCCTGGAACTCGCTCTGTAGACCAGGCTAGCCCTGAACTCACAGAGATCTGCCTGCCTCTACTTCCTGAGTGCTGGAATGAAAGGCTTATAGTAGGAATGAACTAGTATCACTGTCTTTTCATAATAACAGTGTTTGGGGGGCTGGAGAGATGGTTGAAGATACTTGTTGCTCTCCCAGAGGACCTGGGTTCAGTTTCCAGCATACACATCATTGCCCACAACCATCTGTAACTCCAGTCTCGGGGAACCCAGTCCTTCTTCTGGCCTCTGCTAGCACCACACACACACATGGTGCACACACATACATGCAGGCAAAATACTCATACACATTAAAAAGACAAAACAAAATGTTTTTTGTTGTTATGAGATCAATGGGATAGCTGGGTGGTGGTGGCGAACACCTTTACTCCCAGCACTTGGGAGGCAGAGGCAGGCTGATCTCATTGAGTTCAAGGACAGCCTGGTCTACAAAGTGAGTTTCAGGACAGCCAGGACTGTTACACAGAGAAACCCTGACAGAGGACATCCTTCTGTATGCTGTGACTATATGCTTCTCTTATTGGTTGATGAATAAAGCTGTTTCTGCCAATGGACAGGCAGGGTTTAGCCAGGTGGGAAATCTAAAATTTGGAGGGGGTACTGGTGGTAAAGCGCTTGCCTAGCATGCAAAGAGCTCTGGGCTAAGTCTCCAGCACCACACAGACCTGATGTGATGTACGCGTTGCACGCCTATAAACCTCAGTACTCAGGAGGTGGTGGCAGGAGGGTGAGTTCAAGATCATCTTTGGATACATGGAGACTTTGATGCTAGCCTGGATGACATAACCTGTCTTTAAAAAAAGAAAGAAAGGAAGGAAGGAAGGAAGAAAGGAAGGAAGAAAGGAAGGCAGGCAGGCAGGCAGGCAAACATTGCCAGGTATGATGGTACACTTTAATGCTAGCACTCAGCAGACAGAGGGTGGCAGAGTTCAAAGCCAAACTAGTCTACAAATGGAGTTCCAGGTTGCCAGGGCTACACTGTAAGAGCCTGTCTCAAAACACCAAGCAACCAACAGACAAGAAACACAGCACAAGCACCACCACCATAACAGAAACAAATTCGTGCTCTATAAAGTTAGTGTGGAAAGCTGAGTTCAGTGGCACTGCGGATGGAGGCTGAGGCAGGGGGATTACTCGAGCCCATGAACCAACCTGGACAGCATAATGACACCCTATCTCAAAACAAAAAAGGAAATGCCACTGTTGCTGAGACCAAGTAACTCTAACAGCAGCTTTAGATTATCTAAAGCAGGGGTTCTCAACCTTCCTAATGCCGCGACCCTTTAACACAGTTCCTCATGCTGTGGTGACCCCCAACCATGAAATTATTTTCATTGCTACTTCATAATTGTATATTTGCTACTGTTATGAATTGTAATGTTTTCCGGTGGCCTTAGGTGACCCTGTGAAAGGGTTGTTTTACATCCCCCCAAAGGGATCTCGAGCCACGTGTTGAGAAACACTGCTATAGGTTTCACAAGGTAGGTCACAATCGACTGATGGGTAAAAACCAGTTCAGCTTTAAATTGCCTTTTGCCATCTATGCTTTGGCATGGACTGGCAGCAGACTCAACGGTTTTCTTCATGTAAACGTTGGGCTAGATAACAACAAATATAATTTTACCATGTGCACCACTAAAGTGTGTGTTCAGAAAAGAGGTGATTCCATGTATCTAAACATTTTTAGACTTACTCATTTTATGTGTGTGAGTGTTTTGCCTGTATGTATGTATGTGCACCAAGTGCATGCAGTGCCCAAGGCGGCCAGAAGAGGGCACTGGATCCCCTGGAACTGGAGTTATGGATGGCTGTAAAGCACCATGTGAGTTATGGGACTGCTGAGCCTCTGTCCAGCCCTGGCCTCATGCATTTGTCCCGAATGACCGGAGCATCTCTAAGGTGCATAAGGCCAAGTAAGTAGGAATGACTTTCCCAAAGTCATGAGCAGAGTTGGTCAGGAAATTGTGTCTCCTGACCCCTAGCTCAGTGTTCTAGCCTTTCTACAAACCCTGAGCCCCCTGCTGACAGATGCTCCATTCTGCTGGAGCGGCAAGGCCACTGGTCTGGGAGGAATGTTGAGTTGCCATTTTCACGTAGGTCGCTGGGTTTGAGGTAGGTGTACGATTATCATCAGAGAAAATGGTCTTGACGCACCTGTCCTAAACCCAGAGCATGGTTCCGGGACAACCCGTCCCTTTGCCTGGTGCAGTGTTCCTTCCTGGACGTGTGCGTCTGGCTGAGGACCACTAACCCCCCAGAGTCATCAGGGTAAACTGAAGTGGACAAGGGGTGAAAAGGATCTGAGCTGCACAGAGCCAAGGAGGGAGACAGGTCAATGGAGAGCTGGGGGGGGGGAGACATTTAGGGAGAAAGCCTGATTTAATAAGTGGACTAGGGATACAGCACAGGATGAAGACCTGGGTCTGAGTTCCCAGGACCAGTGTGAAAGCCAGACACACAGTGTCAACACTTGTAATCTCAATGACCCTCCAGGGAGATGGGGTGGGGGGAGATTGGGGGGCTAGAGACAGGGTCCTCAGAAGCAGAGCAAGCCTGGCATATGCAGTGGGAAACAACAAACACAATCAGCATCTCTAAGGAGGAGGAAGGTAAGGACCAACACCCAGGACGCACACGCGCACACAGATGCACACACACGTGCACTCACGCACACACTCGCATGCACACCAAGGAATGTGTGTGGCCTGCTGGCACACATCTGTATCACTAGCACTTGGGAGGTAGAGAATCAGAAGATCAGTAGTTCTGGGCCATCCTTGGCTACACAGTAAATTTGAGGACAGCCTGAGCTACAGGACAGCCAGGCTCACACAAACAAGACCGTGAGGAATATAATGGTTGGTAAGAAAGCACAGGGGGGCATTTTGACTTAAAAGGGAGCATGGGGGGGGGCTGGAGAGATGGCTCAGAGGTTAAGAGCACCGACTGCTCTTCCAGAGCACCTGAGTTCAATTCCCAGCAACCACATGGTGGCTCACAACCATCCGTTATGAGATCTGGTGCCCTCTTCTGGTGTGCAGATATACATGGAAGCAGAATGTTGTATATATAATAAATAAATAAAATTTAAAAAAAAAAAGGAGCATGGGTAGTTTCGAATCAAGAAGAAAATGAGGAAAGAGATAAGATGTTTTTCTGAAGAAAGGAAGAGATAGAGTTGATAGATTATTTTATTTACTAAAGAAGTTCCTCAAGACCAGAAAACCAAAACCACTTATCTAGTGTTTACTATTTCCTAGACATTAAAAAAATATTCTTTAAGTCCTCCTAATAGATGGAAGCAGGTGCCATCATCACTCCCATGGCACAGGAGAGCTAGATAAGTTACCTACAGCCACACAGCTGGCAACAGCAGAGACCACTTCCAGAGGAAGCATGAGACAAGAGCCATGCCTTCAGGGCCCTACTGCATACAGTGCCCTGATGGCCAAGATCCAGAAGATGCTGGAAGTGGGAATATGAAGAGAAGAGAAAGAAAAAAATTAAGAAATAAAATATTTTAAAAACAGAAGCTGGCCAGGTGATGGTGGCACACCCCTTTAATCCCAGCACTCGGGAGGCAGAGGCAGGTGAATCTCTGAGTTTAAGACCAGCCTGGTCTTCAAGAGCTAGTTCCAGGACAGCCTCCAAAGCCACAGAGAAACCCTGTCTCCAAAAACAAAACAAAACAAAAACCCTAAAAACAGAAGCTGAGACTCAGAGCATCTATGAGAGCTCACGGGAAGGGCTGGAAAGATGACTCAGAGGTTAAGAGCCTGGAAGAGTCTTGCAGAGGACCAGAGTTCAGTTCCCAGCACCTTTGTCAGGTGGCTCACAACCGCCTGTAGCTCCAGTTCCTGGTGGCCTAACGTCCTCTTCTGGCCCCAGGTAGAGGTCAGATAGGTTGAAATAGCCTTGGTAATAATTGTTTACAAGGTTAATTTATGTGTATGTATCTGTATGCTGGGGTCTTTGCCTGCTGAGTGCTAGGCTTAAAGGCATGCACTACCACACCCAGACCTCAAATTAAAATAAAAAGGATGCCCACAGGAAGCAGACTCCTCTTATTTAAGTGTCTAGATGGAATGTTGGAACAGGTAGAGGTCAGACAGGTTGAAATAGCCTTGGTAATAATTGTTTACAAGGTTAATTGAAGTTATGAAAAGACAATCATTTTGTCTTTTTGTCTGCTTGCACGGGATTGTCGGGGCCGAGCGCAGGGCCCTGCGTCTGCTCTGGTGGGAAATGTCTCTCTTGACACACATTCTCTTTTGTTGTCCGAGGCAGAGGAAGTCAGGGTGGTGACACAGAAACAGAGAGGGGACATCCAACTGCAACTTGCACAAGGCAGGATATGAATAAAGGGAGTGGAACATGTGAGGCAGAGGTGTAGGGGACTTTGCTATCAGCAACTGCAGGCCAGATTGCGACAGACAGGCAGGGGATGAGGGGCAGATAAGGCCGGATGTGGGTCAGGATGGAGATCACACAGGGTTCTTCACCTCGGCTTAATGGACCCTGGAGGTCTTACATGCAGAACTGAGGTGAATGTAAATTGTGGGAGCTAGACAGTCATTATTTTCACTAACTTCTGGCTGAAATTTCATATTTCCTTTATTTATGGGTTTGTTTGTTTGTTTTGAGACATCTTGCTCTGTAGCTATCTGGCATTGTATGTAATTTACACTGACCTCAGACTCATGACAATCCTGCCTCAGCCTCCCTGGGGTTATAGGCATGTGCCACCGTGACTGGTTCCTTTGATTAGGAATATTAATTATAAACCAAAGTAGAAGCCCCAGAACTGAATGCTGTAACCACAACATTACTGTTGCTATAGATATCTTGAAATTTTCCATTCCTTACTTCCTTGAAACTATGGTTTTTACTATGGTAGTTACTAGATCCAAAGATAGATAGATAGGTAGGTAGGTAGGTAGATAGATAGATACGATTTTGTTTGTTTGTTTTTGAGATGGGGTTTCTCTATGTAACCCAGGCTACCCTGGAGCTCACTCTGTAAACCAGGCTGGCCTCAAACTCATAGATCCTCCTGACTCTACCTCTGAGCACTGGGATCAAAGGCGTTCATCACCACCACCTGGCTCACTAGATTTTAACACAACTGTTTTTCCTTACAATTTTATCTGTTTTTTTTGGGGGGGGGGTTGAGACAGGGTTTCTCTGTGGCTTTGGAGGCTGTCCTGGAACTAGCTCTTGTAGACCAGGCTGGCCTCAAATTCACAGAGATCTGCCTGCCTCTGCCTCTCGCCACTACTGCGTGGCTTATTTATTTTTTATATTATTGAAGTACTGAGCACAGAGATGATTTAAGCAGTTGAGAATTCAAGACCAGCCTGGGCAAGTTAGCAAGACCCTGTTTCAAAACAAAAAGTAAGAAGAGCATTGGATGTAGCTCACGAGTGGGAGGCCCCAGATTCAGTCTCTAGCTGAAAGAGAAAAGAAAAAACAAAAAGAAATGAAAGAGCTACGGTATAAAATTCTTAGGCTCAGACAGAGATTGAATTTTTATCAAAGTGTAATCTTTGCAGGGCTGGAGAGGTGCCTCAGCACCTAAGAGCACTGGCTGCTCTTCCTGAGGTCCAGGGTTCAGTTCCCAGCACCTCCTGTCTGTGACTGTAGCTCCAGGGGATCTGATCCTTCCCGCCTCCACGGGCACCTGCACTCACATGTACGTACCCACATACAGAAGCTCACCCTACACAGAGTTAAAAATAATGAAAATACAGTTTTTGTTTGTTTATTTTCTGAGACAGAGTTTCTCTGTGGAACAGCCCTGGCTGACCTGGAACTCACTCCACAGATCAGGCTGACCTAGAACACACAGAGATCTGCTTGCCCTGGTCTACAAGAGTGAGTTCCAGGACAGTCTCCAAAGCCACAGAGAAACCCTGTCTGGAAAAACCAAAAATAAATAAATAAATAAATAAATAATAAAAATAAAAAAAAAAGAAGAAGAAGAACCGAATATCCAGAATATTTAAAGAAATCCCCTAACTCAGCCTTGTGGTAGTGGCCCACGCCTTTAATCCCAGCACTCGGGAGGCAGAGGCAGGTGGATCTCTGTGAGTTTGAGGCCAGCCTGGTCTCCAGAGAGAGTGCCAGGATAGGCTCCAAAGCTACACAGAGAAACCCTGTCTGGAAAAAACAACAACAACAATAAAAAAAAAAAATAACAACAAAAAATCCCCCAACTCAATGATAAAAAGGGGTAAAAGAAATGAAGACTTTTTTTTTCCTCTGAAGATACAAGAGTGGCCAATACACACAGGAAAAAACTGCTCATATCTTCATGAGAAAAACATGGACCAAAATAAAAAACAACACAAGACACTACCTCCTACCTGTTGAGATGGGGCTAATTCAAAAGACAGAGTGCAGAAAACTAGAATCCTTCTATAGCTCTAGTGGGAATGTAAAACGGGGCCAGCACTCTAGAGATTAATGTGCCAGCCCCTCAAAAGTTAATGAATGAGGTAGAGAAGCCTGTTATCCTAGCCTTCAGGAGGCTGGGGCAGGAGGATAGTGAGTTTGAGGCTAGCCAGGATTAATAGTAAGACCCCCCATCTCAAAGAAACAAAACAAGAAGAAACATGGAGGGTGGGGAGCCCACTTGCCTGGCAAAGGACCTGCTTCACAAGCTTGAGGCTGGCTTTCAGATCCTCAGTGCAGGAAAGAAGAAAGAACCAGGTGGGCAGTGCAGCCTGAAACCCGAAACTGGGGCTCCCTGCAGCTCGCTGCTCAGCCAGCCTGCTTAACCCAAGAGCTCTCCGTCCAGTGTGAGACCCTGCCTCAAACCTTAAGGTAGGAAGTGATAGAGGGAGACGCTTGACATCAGCCTCTGGCCTCTGTGTTTGTGCACACACGTGTGCGCATCTACACGGACATGCGCGCACACACAGGTGCACATAGGACTGACATATGACCTGATAATTCTACCCCAGGCAGGGTCCTGAGAGCACTTAAAAAAAAAGGCATTGAAATGGATCTGTGCCTACATCCATGGTAACATTATTCTCAGAGGCCAAAAGATGGGAACAACCCAAGTGTCCATTAATAAACGGATAGATAGGCAGTGTGTAAGAAACACAAAGAATTATTACTCTGCCACAGAAAAAAGGAAGTGTGCTGGCACTTGCTATAATGTGCATGAGCCTTGGAAACATGATATTAAATGAAACAAGCCAGACACACAAAGACAAATGCTTGTGGTTCTGCTGGAATCACAAGGGGCAGGCAGGTTTGTAGCTTAATCTCGCAGAGGCAGACTCACGGGGGCAGAAGCAGGGGTGGGGTGAGAGGCAGGGAGCCATTGCTTAATCAGTACAGAGTTTCTGTTTGAGGTGATGAAAAAGTTATGCAAACCAACTGTGGTGGTAGTTGCACAATAACAATTATGCCATAAAAATCCCACACTTAAAAATGGTCAAAGCAAAGCCGGGTGGTGGTGGTGGTGGTGGTGGTGGCAGCAGCGGCACACGCCTTTATTGCCAGCGCTCGGGAGGCAGAGGCAGAGGCAGGTGGACCTCAGTGAGTTCGAGGCCAGCCTGGTCTACAAAGTGAGTTCCAGGACAGCCAGGGCTACACAGAGAAACCCTGTCTGGAAAAACAAACGTAAAACAAAACAAAAAAGGTCAAAACAACCGGCTTGGTAGCATATATCTTTTACTATAATTAAAACACACTGGTGCGTAGTACACACACACACACATAAACACACACACACACACACTAGCAGCCTGAGGAGACAGCTCAGTGATAGAGTGCTTGCCTAGCACATGTCCATCTCAGTACTGGAGATAAAATGCTGGTGGTGGTGAGCACCCATGGACCTAGCACTGGGAGGGTGGAGGCAGGCGGGTCAGGACTTAAGGCTATGCTTGACTCCATAGGGAGTATGAGGCCAGTCTGGGCTATATGAGACTCTGTCTTGAAGAAGAAGAAGGAGAAGGAGAAGAAGAAGAAGAAGAAGAAGAAGAAGAAGAAGAAGAAGAAGAAGAAGAAGAAGAAGAAGAAGAAGAAGAAACCTAATGGAAAGAAATTATTCTGAAAAGATGCCCTTTCACTCTGTCAGTTTGCTAAGAGGTTCGTGGCACAGAAACAGGCTGAGAATCTCTTGCTGGTCAGGGTTGGGAGTCAGGGTGTACACTCTGTGGATGGCCAAGATGTGGCTGTTAGAAGGATTTCTTTGTTTAGTCCGTCAGAGCTGTCTACCTTTCTGTGGGACTACTAATGGTAGTTGGTGCTTTATTACATTAATTTAGCACAGAGAGGAATAGAAAACAGCTTTGTAGAGGCATTTCTCTCTTTCCACAAGGTGGGTCCCAGGAATAGAACTCAGGTCCTCAGGCTTTGCAGCAAGCACCTTTACACACCCACTGAGCTATTTTTGCCTGCCTTGATTGAACAACGTGTTTATTAAATATCATCCTGAGATACTTCGGGAGGTCTCTATGCCTACAGTGACTGGATTGTGACTAGTCTTGCAAAGTTTCAAGGGCTGAGAGCTTGGTTCCGATGGAGGCCATGTTTGGAAGTAGCAAGTAGTGAAACCTGGGCTGCAGGAGCCCCTCCCTCATGCCTGGATCCAGCTCCTGTGGGGCTGAATTAGCACCCAGAGAGCAGGCTTTCTGAAGTGAGCTGCCCTATGGCTTGGCCACTTGGCGGCTTCCTTTTCCATTTCTCAGCTACATTGTGGCACAGCAGGGTGTCCTCACCAGGATACCAGCATCCATAAGGTTTGGCCCCATTGGCTATCAGAATTACCAGCCAAACAAACCTTTTATTTACAAGTTACTCAGTCTTTCGTCTTTTGTTATAGTGGAATACCAGAAAACAGGCTAAAAGACAATGCCAGAGAAGTTATAATCAGAGGACTCTGCAAGACACACACAAACATAGAAACACACACAAACATAGAAACACACACACACACACACACACACACACAGGCACACACTCACAGAGACAGACAGACAGGCAGGCAGGCAGGCAGGCACACAGCCAACAACCAAAAATCACACAATAAACAGCCTGGTTCTGAGAACAGGAATCCAGAGAAGGAAGACAGAGAGACAGAAGTGAGCTGCAAGAGAGTCAGGTCAGCTTTTGCTCCTGCCTGGCTTGCTGGCCACCGAGAGGCTGAGGACACGCACCGGCACTGGACATGATGCTTGAAGGTGGTGACATTGATGTCCACATTTCCGGAAGTGGCAGCCTTCCTCCTGTGCTCCTGCTGGAAATTCTCCTCATTGTACACATTTCGCTTGACATCGTACACAAAGGGGATTTGCCTGAATCTGCTGCCCAAGTTCTGGATGCTCCTCTCTGATTGCATCCTTCCTGGATGAGCTGGAAAGACGTCAGGTGAAAAACAGGCATTAAGGCTGGTGAGACGGCTCAGTGGTAAAAAGGTGTTTGCTGGCAAGCCTGATGACCTGTGTTCATCCAGGGCACCCGCGTGGTAAGACTACTGACTCCTGCAAATTGTCCTCTGACTTCATATACAGTCTGTGGCAACACATGCCACTCCAACCACCAAATAAATAAATTCAATAAAAAAATATTCAGGGCTGGGTATAGTAGCATATGTTTATTAATCCCAGCACATGGCAAGCAGAGACAGAAGGATTTCTATGAGTTCAAGGACAGACTGCATAGAGAGATCCTGTCTCAAAAGATAAGCACATTTTTAGAAATTTATATCATTAGCACTTTCCTTGATTATTTATTTATTTGTTTGTTTATTTATTATGCATACAGTGTTCTGCTTGCATGTATCCCAACAGGCCAGAAGGGGGCACCAGATCTCATTATGGATGGCTGTGAGTCACCACGTGGTTGTTGGGAATTGAACTCAGGACCTCGGGAAGAGCAGCCCGTGCTCTTAACCTCTGAGCCATCTTTCAGAGGTGTGAAAACCATCACTTTCACACCACAGTGATTCAGCCACAGCCACGGTTTAAGCCCTGTCCCGTAAAACAGATATCACATCCTAAGACCACGGAACCTAGAGCAACACTGATGCTCCCAGCCTGGGGAACGGGAAAGAACGCCCTGAGCAGGTGAACTGAGACCCAGCTGAGGCGGGGGAGGAGGAATGGCTGTTTCAGGGACAGGACTCAACACAATGAGAGATGATCTAAGGAAAATAATTAGAAAGACCCGAGTCATGCCAGCTTTTAACTGGGAGTATGGGAGGGGGTGTCTAAATGTGTTCCTAGAGGAGGGCCCCTGAAAGGACTCTGCAGGGAAAGGCGCCTGCCACCACACCTGAGTCTGATCCCCGGGACACGTGTGGTAGAATGAGAGAACCGACTCCCACAGTTGTTCTCTGACCTGCACTCAGCAGTGTGGCCTGCCTGCATCTATGAGCACACACCAAACAAGCTTCACTGTTCCTAGAGGGAGCTGGGTGTGATGGCACACACCTGTAATTTCAGCACTTAGGACACAGAGGCAGGAGGGTCAGGGGTTCAAAGCCAGCCTCTGTTACATAGCAAGCTCGAGGTCAGCCTGGGCTATATGAGACCCTATTTCAAAATAAACAAACAGAACCACGCGTCAAATAAAAGTCCTTTCCACAGGGTCCTGGATGTGTGACCTGACCTGTCCTGGACGTTTTAGTTATCTGGAGTCTGAGCAGGAGTCATGTACACATGGGATATACTTGAGGAGACGGAGTCAGAGACGCTGTCTTGAGCTGTATGGTCCAGCACGCTGAGCCGCTGGCTACTAAATTTACTACTTAAATGTAACTTTCATTAAGTGAAGATTTTAAATGCCCTTCCCCGCCCATTTGCTACATTCAACATGCTCCACAGTGGCTCACCCACATGGCTCACACATGGCTCACACACAGCTAGTGACTTCCCACCTGGATGGTGCAAATACAAAGCCTTCTGTCAGTAGGGGAAGCTGATCTGAACAGTGCTGGAGGTGGAGAGGCCAAGGCCAAAGGACCAGTCAGAGACCCTCAGTGTCACACGAGTCTAGGGACAGGTTAGTAGGTCATTTGGAAAAAACAGGAAAGAATGAAACCAACCGACCAACCCAACAAGCAAAGCCATGGAGCAAAGGTGGAGAGACAGGTGGAATGCTGCCTGTAATGTCTGGTCATATGTCTGCCTGAAGCACCCAGGGCAAACACATGACTTCTTTATTAGTTTCGTTAGAAGTCTCAGGAATTGCTCCAACTCCGTGACTCTCTGTATATGTGTTTGTGTGTGTGCATGTATGTGTGTGGTGTATGTGTGTCTGTGGCGTGTGTGTGTGTGTGTATGCATGTGTGGGGTGTATGTGTGTCTGTGGTTTGTGTGTGTGCATGTATGTGTGTGGTGTATGTGTGTCTGTGGCGTGTGTGTGTGTGTGTGTGTGTGTGTGTGTGTGTGTGCGCGCATGCATGTGTGGGGTGTATGTGTGTCTGTGGTGTTTTGTGTGTGTGCATGCATGTGTGGGGTGTATGTGTGTCTGTGGCGTGTTTGTGTGTGTGCAGGCGTGTGTGTGTGTGTGTGTGTGTGTGCGCGCATGCATGTGGGGGGTGTATGTGTGTCTGTGGTGTGTTTGTGTGTGTGCATGCATGTGTGGGGTGTATGTGTGTCTGTGGCGTGTTTGTGTGTGTGCATGCATGTGTGGGGTGTATGTGTGTCTGTAGTGTGTTGTGTGTGCATGCATGCGTGTGGTGTATGTGTGTCTGTGGCATGTTTGTGTGTGTGCATGCATGTGTGGGGTGTATATGTGTGTCTGGTGTGTTTGTGTGTGTGCATGCATGTGTGGGGTGTATGTGTGTCTGTGGTGTGTTTGTGTGTGTGCATGCATGTATGGGGTGGGCACAGCGGCAGCGGCGGCAATAGCAGCAGCAGCGTGACTCTGGTACAGAGCAGCATATAAGGGTGCTATGATCTAAGCTAGTTATCTTGCTGGTCTTGGCTTTTTTAGTTTTTGAGACAGGATTTCACATAGTCTAGGGGGCCTTGAACTCCAATCCTCCTGCCCTATCAACCAAATGCTGAGATTACAGATGTATGTCATCATTCATGCCTTAATTCTTTTTTTTTTTTTTTCTTTTTGTGGTGGGAATGCACTTGAAGGCCTCACATGCTAGGATGCTCTACCCTGAGCTGTGGTCCCAGCCTTTAATTATCTTTAATCAGGCTCTCACTGCTACATTTAGAACACTATATTAAAACACAAGCACTTTAACCCAGCTCTTTCACAACTTCCACTGTCCTTATCCATCCATCCATCCACTGATTGATTCAAAGAATCTCCATTTGGAATATTTAAATGCAAAAAAAAAAAAGGTAGCCTGATATATAAGACCCAACAGACAAGAAGCCATGAAAACTAAGGTGTGAGAATGTCTTTCACTGATATAGTCATCTTTCAAGTTTCCTGTACCATTAGGCAAAGTTCACTTCCAATTTTTAAAAACAAGCGTGTGTCCAGGCGTTGGTGGTGCCGCCTTTGATCCCAGCACTCGGGAGGCAGAGTCAGGCGGATCTCTGTGAGTTCCAGGACAGCCTGGTCTACAGAGCCAGTGCCAGGACAGGCTCCAAAGCCACAGAGAAACCCTGTCTCGAAAAACCAAAACCAAAAATACAAAACAAACAAACAAACAAACAAAAACCAAAAACAAGCGTGTGTAATCCCAACCAAAACTACTCATTGCCTGTGACTCTCTCAGTTTTGATGGAGACTGTGCAGGATATGGCAAAGGTGTCAGCAAACTCCGTTGTGTAGTGGCAGGAGATAAGTGAAGGTGACAGCCCTCCAGCTGCTGACCACAGGTCACATAAACACCGGACACCTTCCTTTAGTGTTGCCAAGGGACAGATACTCATCACTGGGCAGAATGGAGAAGGCAAGCGGGGGCCCAATGCATAATCCATAAATAGGGATTTGACTGGAAGACAGACAAGGGGGAGAAGGGTGGAGCGCAAGATTCCGCCAGGCAGAACAAGGTGAGCAAAAGCAGTGAGGTTTGAAAGGATAAGGAGTCCTGGGCTGAGGCCCCGTGAGGACAGAAGGGATGGAAGTGGGGAGAGGCCCACAGACAATGAGAGGAGAGAACTTTGAGAGGACCCGGCCTGCAAAACCCACTTTGTCTCCTGCTGCTGTTTCAGGCTGCCTTTCTATCCCAGAGAGACGTTCCAGGGACTACCTCCACCCCTCCTTCCCTCCCTCCCTCCCTCCCTCCCACCCCTCCATCCCTTCCA